AGAGAGAGAGAGAGAGAGAGAGAGAGAGAGAGAGAGGAGAGAGAGGAGAGAGAGAGAGAGAATCTTGCTTTGGTTTTATAATGACTTCTCTACTTCACAGGCAGAGGATGTGTGAACTTTGGAGACAGATTTAAATTTAAAAATGAGGTTATACTGACCTAGAGAATATATGGTGCTCAACTCCTCAGTGGACACGATATTGTTTGCCTGTTGTGTATAATAAGCCTCTTATGTGGGTGGTAATGGGATTGTCCGTGGGAAATGCAAGGGTCTGTGTCAGATCCAAGACAAAATGAACTCGATGGTTTTCTCTTTTCATGAGCTTTTTTAAAATCTAACTTTATTTTGTTTTGCCAATTTTTGTCTTGACTTTTTGTTTGTTTTGATTTTTGTTTTTGTATTGAGAGACAGAGAGATACTACTTTAATCCGTAAAAGCCTTAAATTAAATAATGGAGTCATCGGCAAAGGAGCTAAGTATAATTTAAGAAAACCAAGTAGGCCAGGCAGTGTGGTGCACACCTTTAATCCCAGTACTCAGGAGGCAGAGGCAGGCGGATCTCTATGAGTTTGAGGCCAGCCTGGTCTACAGAGCGAGTTCCATGACAGCCTCCAAAACAATACAAAGAAACCCTGTCTTGAAAAACCAAAAAAGAAAGGAAGGAAGGAAGGAAGGAAGGAAGGAAGGAAGGAAGGAAGGAAGGAAGGAAGAAAATAAATGAATAAGTCTAGAAAGTATTCACTATTATTATGTGTGCACATGTATATGTGATCTCTGTGTGCACGGTACACACATGCCCTGGAATCTACGTGGATATTAGAGGATAACTTAGGACTCAATTCTCTCCTTCCATTGTGGGTCCTGGGGACTAAACTCAGGTCATCAGGTTGGTGGCAGGCACTTTTACCCACTGGGCCACCTTCCCACTGCATCTTCTCTATTTCAGTGAATGCTTCTAGACTGTCAATCTTTTCCTGATCCTCCATACAAACCCAGCGGTATCAATGTCACAAGCCCAGGGTTTCTGTCCACACTAGTTAGTAAATCAAAGCTGAAATATCTAGAATGCAAGTTTCACGTATTGGTGGTAAGGGGAAAGCTGGTTCTCTCCTTCCACGTGACTTTAGGTCAGGCTTACACAGCACGCACTTTTACTTGCTGAACTGTTTCTCCCACCTAACTCAAATCTCTTGAGCACACCCATTATTTGCTAGAAATAAAGTATTTCCAACCTTACTAGGGGGAACAAATCTTGCTTAAATTTTACCTTGGCAAGTGTATGGTTAAAAAGCGAGTGGTTTATGGACTTGAGTCCATGCTGAGGGAGCCCAGCGTTGGTTGGTAGAGAGAGCAAGTAAAGCCCTTTAAGGAGGCCCTGATTCCAAAAGGGTCGTATGCATTGTTCAGGTGACCCATTGCTCTTATCCTCACACTGGGAGCCATTGAAGTCACTCAAGGTCAGTTTCTTATCTTGCAGTTCATTTAGAGGTCATCCATGCCAAAAGTGGGATTGAGTTTCCCCCTGACATGTGTTTTTCACTTATGTTTGATTGATTTGGTTTCCTTTCCCTTATACTAAATAATACTGGGCATCCATTCACTATTGTGTAAGTAACATGCCAACAACTGCAGACTTTGAATTATGAACAACAGCTGGCAAATGTTGTTGAGAGGGTACCAAATTTTTCCCTTGACTATGAGGATCAAGACTACACTCAGTATAAATCTGTGACTACCCAGCCTCGAAAGCACTAATCATCACCAAAAAAAGCAATTATCAGAAAAAACTCAAAGAACCATGATTGATAGCTCCCTCATTAAAAACAACAACAAAAAGATCAACTTTGTTCTCTATAAAAATGTTAACTTTGTAGGGCTGAAGTTCCAGATGACCAGAGAGTTGGCACCAGAGGGCAACGGAGGAGCTGTAGTTAACTAACTTCAGGTGGGGAAATGATGTCCCTGTCCACATGGCAGACCCGGAGTCATTCTCCAGAATCGTGTTCAGAAGCACTGTAGGTTAAGCCCTGTAGAGAGTGTCACGGTTCCCTGCTGGAAGGTTACCCATGTCTTCCTTCATTCTCCACACACGACAGCACTGCACATGTGTCTCTGTTATTATATATGCCACGCTGGTGTAATTACATTTGCATACTGCCTTTCTTCACCAAATCAGAAATTTAGGGGCTTCAAATATAACGCAGTGGAAGAACAAGGATATAGCATGTTGGATTCAATGTCCTGTACCCTTCTTTTAAAAAAATGTAGATCATGACTTACTTGTACACTTTGAATTAGGACCGATGACTGGATATTTGTAGCCTTCAATAACTCGAATGAATGAATGAATGAGAACTGTACATAGTACAGGGACTATTAATCAGCTAAGCCACATTCTGGATATTTTCTAAGAACTCTTGCAGTTTTACTGAGTTTAAAGCATCACCCTATCATGGCAGAGTTCCCTGGGGTTTTATTCCAATTAATTATGAATAATGCTGAAAATATGAGTGCAGTATTTGTCTCTCCTTGGTCCCTCAGGTCAGTGAGCACTCCTCAGCCCTTAGGTGTCCCTGACTGAAGGAACTGGACAGGAACATCTATAGACCACTTACAGCCTTAGCCCATTTGCTGCTGTTTAACTCGTTTCCTAGGCTCTTAAATTCTACATGAATTTTGTGTGTGTATATCTCTATATATGTATGTATGTTTGTATGTATTTGTATTTATGTATATGTAATATATATAACATACTTTGCTTTTTTTTTTTTTTTTTGGTTTTTACGAGACAGGGTTTCTCTGTATTGTTTTCGAGGCTATCGGTCCAGCCCATCCTCGAACTCACAGCGATCCGCCTGCCTCTGCCTCCAGAGTGCTGGGATTAAAGGCGTGCACCACCACCGCCCGACCATACTTTGCTTTTATATATAAATATATTTTTTTAATCAAATAATGATTTTTTTATTCTTTTTTTTAAATTTAGATAAGAAACAAGGTTGCTTCACAAGTCAGTTCCAGGTCCCTCTCCTTTTCCCTCCCCTCCTCCCGTGCCCTCCCCCCATCCCCCTCCCCCCATCTCCCTCCCCCCCCCCGTTATCCCCTCATTCCCCCAGGGAGGGTGAGGCCCTCCATGGGGGTGTCCATAGTCTGTCATTTCATATAGGGCAGGGCCTAGACCCTTCCCCAAGAGTTCAGGGTGAGAGTGCACCTCACATTGTTCTATGGGAGTCCAAAGTCCGTGTGTATACTTGGTATGGGTACTGATCTGCTGCCCAAGGCTCAATAGATTACCTAGGCCTCCTCACTGACACCCAGATTCAGGGGGTCTTATAAATCTCTGAAACCACATTAAAAGAGCTAGACAATTTTAAAGTCAAAAGAGACTTTTTAATCTGGGTTTATTGGTAGGAGAGGGGGTTAAGGCAATGTTTTGCTATATGACCATGGCTTGCTGGTACTTGCTTATGAAGCTCAGACTGGTCTTGAACTCATGGCAACCCTCCTACCCCAGTCTCCTGAGTGCTGGGATTACAGGTATGCACCACCATGCCTGACTTGACTTCTTAATTATGTCACCAGCTTGGAAATTAAGCCCCTTATAAAGAGGAGTCCTTTTTTATTGATAGGAGGAGTACTAGAATTGAAGTCAAATAGGCCAAGATTCAGTTCTTCACCCTGGGAATCAAATCATAGTCTCGTACTGGTTGTGTGATCACAGCAGTTTGCATAATAGCTTTTCATTTGAAAGTTTGATTGGCAGTCTAGCTCAGTGGTTCATGACAAGCACTTAAGTGTACAAGGCAGAGTGCCAACAGTAATGCCTGCAACACACACAACCTCAGTGATCTTGTTTCTGCCCTTGCTTGCCTGAGTCTGTGGCTGCAAGGGGACTTGCAAGCTTTCCTTGGCATTGTTAGGTTGGGCTGTGGTTTCTGGCTTACTTGGCAGAATCCAGTGGCATCAGAGGCACAGCCAAAGCCCAGCATGGCAATGCATGCCTGTCATCCTGGCACTTGAGGGACTGATGCAGAAGACTTGTTAGTTTGAGGCCAGCCTGGGCTCCAAAACACCAAAAGAGCAGCTAGAGAGACGGCTCATCAATTAAGAACACGTTGCTCTTCCAAAGAGGATCAGGGTTCAACTCCTAGCACCACATGGCATCTCATAGCCATCTGTAACTCCAGTTCCAGGAGATCTGACGCGCTCTTCTGACTTCCAAGCACATAAGAGGTATACACACATGACTGCAATGTGTATACATACAAGAGGTATACACATGCCTGCAGTGTGTATACATACAAGAGGTATACACACATGCCTGCAGTGTGTATACATACAAGCATACAAGCAAACACTCGTACACATAAAATAAAAATAAGTAACCCTTAAAAAAAAACAAGGAGAAAGCACATTCCTTGCTGGTGTGCAGAGCCTTGGGTTGATTCTCCACCACTGGAAAACAACACAACACAGAAGGTACAGCTAAGACCATACTTTGTCAGCACCCGAACACAAGACCTACGATAGAATACAAGAATACAAGACCTCTCTTACTTAAAAAAAAATCACTCCTAAATTACAAGTTTCACTGCTCTTTCTGCTTTCCATTTCTTTGCTTATAAGTTATGGCACTCTTCCAGTCAACCATCAACTGTGGTTTTACTGTATAATTGTGTGTTTTAGCAAGATTGTTGCTACAAGGCACTAGGATCCCAGAACACAGTACATAAGTGTTTGGAAAATAAGATCAGTGTAACCTAATATACTGCTCTTTTAAATTACATTCTAGGGTAATAAATGTTTCTATTAAGTTGAGTTTCTTTCCATTCCGACAGTAAATAATGAGTATTTGAAGCATAGCCATGTTCATCGCATGAACATAAGTCACCGTGAAATTTTAAAGTCGCCAGGAGGGGGAGACGCATGCTAACCTTCTCAGTCTCTCAGCGTTCATTCGTCATTTTGCGAAATAACTTATTTCTCTCTCCTTCTCTGTAAAGGTAGAAACCTGTGGGTTCTCATTGTGGGGAAGTCTCCAAAGGAACACCGAGTTGGGATTCCAGAATTCAAATACGTGGCTAATATGCACGGGGATGAGGTATGTACCCGGTGGGAATATCCGCAAGAAACTTGCCCTCAGGTTTCCCATGGCCTGTGTCCACACTGACAATAAAGCCTGGATGAGCATCACACGTTGCATCAGGCAGCAGGGGCCCGCATGGTCTTCCCGGGAGGCGTGGGAGGAAATTGAGGGAGCAGGCACTAGCAGCATCAGACAGTGTGACTGTATGCTTGGTCCCCTGAAGAGTAATCGAAGCTGCCCTTGTGTTGGGGCGCTCTCTGCGCTGCCTCCAGCCCTGTGCAGACTCCTTCCTGGGTTGCTTTCCCGTCTCCTGTTGGCAATTAGGAAACCCAGCACAGGAGTTCTGTTGCACTTGAACTCCAAACAATGAGAAGACACCAAATAACCATCCAGACTCCCAGCATCTGGTATTTTTAGTTTTTAATTTTTAATCTTTATTTATTCATTTATGGCGCTGGGGATTGAAACCAGGTCTAAGCTTTCTAGGCAAGTATTTCATCTCTGAGCTGTCCCTCCAGCCCACGAACATGACGTTTGGAGCTATCTGCTACAGCTCTGGGACTTCCAGGGTGCAAGCCGAGAGGCACACAGCGTTCCTTCCATTAGACTCCATAGTATCGTCTCTTCCAAATTAGAGGAGATGAACCCTGTTTTTACTTTGTTCCACAAACCACCCTCTTACCACTCTTACAAGAATGACTGGTACCCTAGTTTGCTTTCCCTTGCACTGATGAAGACCACGACCAAAAGCAACTGAAGAATAAAAACAGGTTTACTCCAGGTCATTGAGGGAAGTCAGAGGAGCTCAGGACAGGAACTGAAGCAGGCATGAAGGAAAGCTGCTTACCTCCTTCCTCTAGCTCATCGTCAGCGTCCTTTCTCATATGTCCAAGACCACCTGCCTAGGGGTTAGCACCACCCACAGTGGACTGGGCCCTCCCGCATCAATCATTACTCCAGAAAATGCCCTGCAGACTTGCCTATGGGCCAATCTAATGGAGATTTGCTTAACTCAGGTTCCCTCTTTCCATGTGACCCTAACTCGTATCAAGTTGACTTTCCCAGCCAGGATAGTAGGGCTGTTGAAGATGTCCACCTCTTTCCCACCTTGCTTCCTTAGGATACTTTCTTTGTTGTCTGTATACCAGGACTCCACACAGCTGAGGGAGGAATGGTAGCTCCCACTGTAAATGAAAAGTGCGTTTAGTTCTAGGAATTTCAGAGTCCATGCATATGGCCAGAAGCACAGCCTGCTGGTTTCCAAATCATTCTCAATCGCTGGGTGGGATGCTCTAGTCAGTGCTGGACCTTGTGACCCGATTTAACCTCCTCAAGCTCTGGTTCCATAGGACCTGGCTCCACCCTTTATGACACACACGGCCAGCCCTTGCCAAGCATGCCACCCAACCCGTCCTGCTGAGAGGCTGTTTCTTGCAGCAGGAGTTGAAATGCAAATGTATGCTTGCAAGAAAGGAACCTGATTTGGGGTGCATAAAGAACAATACAACTATTTTGTTGTTGTTTTTAATCATAATGGACTGTTTCTTTAAAAGACTTCATGTTGCTGGGAGTCTGCCCCAAACTGCCTTTAATGAACAGCTCTCTGTTACACACAGCGGCCCAGACTTCCTTTTCCTTTTGCTATCTAGTCTATTGATCAAGGGCTCCTGGAATCCATTTTTAATAAGAGACAGATGGCACTCATTGTCTCCAGGAAGTTATTTATTGACTTCCCGGGGATTCAGAGGTTATAGGCTGATGCTCAGAAATTAATCCTCAGAACCAAACTTCCAGAGAGGAGCGTGGTCCCTGCCCTCCCTCCCCTCCCTGCCTAGCTGTGTTTGCCCTTTCTGTGTTCTTTCACAAACTCTTGGTATCCTCTTTCTGGAGCGACACTGTGTCCTATCAAACCCAGGCTCTCTGGTTCACCCTGAGTCTATAAGGAACACTGAGAACGGATTTAGGATGGAAGGATAATGGAGAAAGCATTCCCATGTTCTGAGTGGGGATCTGAAGCATTGTGAATGCTTTTGTGTCCCAGCTCATGGCTGTGGCTGTGTGCTCTGCAAGCCTGTTAAAGAAATGTATTATTCCGAACTTGAGGTCTTGTGGATTCTGCTCCTATTGGTGCCTCTAGGAGTTGGAGACAGGGGTGCCCTACCTGGAAGCAGAGGGCTTTCTCTGAGCATAAAATCTGAGCCCCACCATGATCCGCTTAGATTTTTTGGAACTGAAAGTATTTTCAATTCTTGATGATTTCAGGCCTCCTAAAAAGCCATGTAACTAACATCCTGGGCAGTGACTTTTGCCCGTCTTTAGAGGTATTTCTCAGTGTCCTGATGTGAACTTAGACCTCTGACCCCAGGATCTTTAGTGCTTCCAGAAGTTTAGTGCCTCATGGTAAATTCCTGTAGGAAGCATACACACTGAGTGGCGGGGTAGACCAAACAAACCACATGATTTTTAAAGGGCATTTCCTCTCTCCCCTAGACACCACCACATGGGGGGTCCATAATTGGTTCTATGTGCTTGATGAGATTAATTGAAGCATCAGGGCCCATTTCTGTCCCCCTGTGAATTTCCACTTTGCTCTTTAACACCTTATTTTAAAATCATGTATCTTTACATTAAAATAATAATGTTAAGGGCCAGTGAGATGACTCAAGGGGTAAAAGCACCTGCTACCAAGACTCATGACCTGAGTTGGATCCTCAGGGCCCAGGCGGTGGAAGGAGAGAGAGCTCCAACTTCCAAAAGATGTGCTCTGACCTCCAAACACCCTGGGACATGTGCATCTCCACAGACAGACAGACAGACCATTCCCTAGACAGGAGTCTGGACCTTTGTAAGAATGGAGAAATCACTGGCATGGTGACCCACACCTTCCTATTATGTGGAGGTCAGAGAAAGCATGCCTGTGGCATGAATTCTAGTTGGTTTTAATAAAAACTTGGAGACATACATGGGGTTAAAGCTGAAGATCAGGGAAGCAAAGCAGCCAACCACTAGAGAGCTCTCACCTCTACCAATGCTCACACAGAAAGGGCGGCCCTGTCCTCAGACTGCATCTCCAGACTGCATCTGTCTCCACCAAACCTCAGACTGCAGTGAGCTCCTGTCTTATATTCCTCTCTAGTGTTGGGATTAAAGGTGTGGCCACCACTACCTGGTCTCTATGGCTAACTATTGTGATTAGCTATGCACTCTGATCTTCAGGCAAGCTTTATTTGTTAGATCATAAACCAAATATCACCACACATGCACAATAATGTAACATTTAGGTAAACACTGAACAAGAAGAACTAAGCAATCAGTAAAGGGATTAAACCTGTAACAACCCCAATTGACAGACTTATTGCCCCGGCCGACCGACACCCCCAGCTACCTTACAGCATAGTTTTTTGTTGTGATACAGTTTCACTATGTTGTTCTGTCTTTAGAGCTCACTGTGTAGACCAGGTCTTGAACCCACAGAGACCCACCTGCCTCTACCTCAGGAGTATTGGGATTAAAGGTGTGTGCCACCACACCCAGTAAGCAATTTTAAACTAATTCCCACTGGTTCAAGCTTTTGCTCCCCTCCCTTCATTCTCCCCCCATCTGTCTCTGTCTGTCTCTCTCTCTGTCTCTCTCTGTGTCTCTCTCTTTGTCTCTCTCTGTCTCTCTGTCTCTCTCTCCTCTCTGTCTCTCTCTCTGTGTCTCTCTCTCTGTCTCTCTCTGTCTCTCTCTCCTCTCTGTCTCTCTCTCTCTGTGTCTCTCTCTGTCTGTCTCTATCTGTCTGTCTCTCTCTGTCTCTCTCTGTGTGTCTCTTTCTTTGTCTCTCTCTGTCTGTCTCTCTGTCTCTCCTCTCTGTCTCTGTGTCTCTCTCTGTGTCTCTCTCTGTCTCTCTCTCTGTGTCTCTGTCTCTCTCTGTCTGTCTCTCTCTCCTCTCTGTCTCTCTGTCTCTCTCCTCTCTCCTTTTTCTGCTCTCTTCCCTCCCTCCTTCCCACGTGCTCTCTCACTGGTACCCATCATGGAGATGCCTTCAAATTTCCACCATCTCTAAGCATTCTCTGTAGAATGAGACCCAGAAGCGTTTTTACCTATCCGGCCAGTTCCCGCTTGGCGGGTGAACTAAACTGATACAGAATTGTCTTCTGCTTTCTGAATTGAGTCACCCGGGGTGGAGGTGGGGGATCCCCGAAGCTGGTGTGTGTCTCAGGCCTGCCATCGTTTCCAGGGACCCTGATGATAAAGAAGTCCGCGTTCTCTAGCAAGTGAGTGTGGAGAACGGCTGTTAAACTGAGAGGCCATTTCACCACATTCTCTTAAAGTTGGGCACCCGAGGTTCCATACTCCAAGCCTTAAATTTAAGGGAAAAAGAGAAGTTTATACATAAAACATGAATGAGTACTTGAGCCGTTTATATTCAGTCTATGGAGAATACATTTGAATAATATTTGTCATAAATCACAGGGCGGCAAATATGGCCCAATAAGGAAAATAATGAGAGGATTTTGTTTAACTCCCTCTGAGACATTGTATGTTTTGCCTCAGCCTTTTAAAACTAACTGGTGCACAGTTGTTTCTGTGTATTTATGAGATTTTTTTAAACCTTCTGTAGTTAAGCACTAAGAAATTTGGTTTGGAATATTAAGAGAGATACTTCTTTGGTTACACATGGATTTCCTCTGAAAGAAACGTTATTTAATTATTTTATGACAACATGGGATGTCTTCAGTTTCAAAAGTGATACTAGAAAAATAAATATTGAGAAGCCATCCGGGAATTATCACCCAGAATGGCTGATATTAATATTTTCAAAAATCTTTCCAGAAATTCATACCTTCCTGTGGTAAGAGAAATTAAAATAATCTGGCAGGGCAGGCAGGAGGAGACTGGGGAGTCAGTTCAGCGGTTAAGAGCACTGGCTGCTCTTCCAGAGGACCCGGGTTCAATTCCCAGCACCTAAGTCCAGTCCCAGGAGATCCAATGCCCTCCTCTGGCCCCGCCTGACATGTGTATGGTTCACAGACATAGATGCAAGAAAAACAGAACATATACAGAACACAAAATTTTAAAATTAAACAAGAAGTTTTAAAATCTAGAATAAAATGTGTGGCATAATCCGTATATAAAATGCACAAAATTTTGTCAAATTTAATGTATTAACCAGAGAAGAAAACTGAAGTAAAACTAGATGGAGAGCTTGATATTCTGGATTTTTTAGTTTCTTTATTATATGTTATTTATTTATTGTGTGTGTTTGAGAGGGTGTGTGTGTGTGGGAGAGAGAGAGAGTGTGTGTGTGTGTGAGTGTGTGTGTGTGTGTGTGACTGCTGTGTTCAAGTGTCTGGCCCACTGTCGCAGGCTTACATGGGGCAGTCAGAGGGCAGCCTGCTGGTATCAGTGGGTTTGCTTTCATTTTTCATTTTTGATTATTAGTTTTATTTTATGTGTGGCCTTTTGCCTGCATGTCTCTCTGTGTACCACATAAGTGCCTGGTGCCTGCAGGAGCCAGAAGAGGGCACTGAACCCTGGTACTGGAGTTACAGCTGAGCTGCCATGTGGGACTCAAACTGGGTCCTCTGGAAGAGCAGTCTCTTAACTATTGGTCCCTCTCTCCAGCCCCAGAGTTTTACTTTTAACATAAACAAGAAAAGCGGGCATGTTTGAAGGAAATGTAAATAACAGTGTATACCAAAATCATATGGCAAAATCTGTGAACAGTATATGGGTGACAGGCCAGTGGTGAAGTTCAAGTCGGAAGTGTACAGAAAGATAGCACAGGTGTGCAGAAGCAGAGGCTGCGGAAGGAGACTGTGGAATGCTGAAGCCTGCTTGGGTCCTCAGAGCAGTGACTGAAATGAACCGCCTTAAAACCCAGTGTCTAACTTGGAGCTGGGTTTCATGTGGGCCATGTTCTTCTCTTGGAGGGCAAGGAAATGAAGGCCTCAATGACAAGAACTGTCACTCCGGTTCTCCTTTAAGTCTAAATTGTTCTGAGTTCACCGGGTCGCACACATACAAAGGGCAGATAATTTACAGACGAGCCCCTGAATTGTCACAAAGCAATCCTTTCCAGCAGTCTCCTGTGAGCTGACACTTGCCACTGTGGTATGATTGACAGCCAGTGGTCTCACCTGGTGGTGGCTCAGGCCATGAATTCCAGCACTCAGGAGACAGAGGCAGGGGGATCCCTGTGAGTTTGAGGCCAGCCTGGTATGCAGAGAGAGCTTCAGGACAGCCAGGGCTGTTACACAAAGAAACCCTGTCTCAAAAAACCACACAAACAAACAAGAAAGAAGGAAGGGGGTAAGGGAGGCAGAGGGAGGTAGAGGGAGGGAGGGAGGGAGGAAAAGGAAGGAAGGAAGGAAGGAAGGAAGGAAGGAAGGAAGGAAGGAAGGAAGGAAGGAAGGAAGAGAAACAGTGGTCTCACAAACAAATGTTAATCTAAGACAGCAAATGTGGAGATCCCCCACAGGAGGATCTGTGCTTGGGAAACATTTTCCCTATTATTTCTGGCTTAATAATAATAGCCCCGTTCCTCTGTCTACCCAGACTGTGGGGCGAGAATTGCTGCTCCACTTGATCGACTACCTGGTGACCAGTCACGGAAGAGATGCCGAAATCACACATCTAATCAACAGCACTCGGATCCACATCATGCCTTCCATGAACCCAGATGGATTTGAAGCCGTCAAGAAGCCCGACTGTTATTACAGTAACGGAAGGTAAAGAGGGTCGTGGTCTCCCATCAGGCACCCATAGACCCCAGCAAGAGGAGTCACCTCTTAGTCAAGCACCCTGGAGCCTGTGCCTGTCACAGGTACCCTGGGGCTCTTCAGGCCACCATCTTGTAGGGTGATACATGGCGCCCACCTAGTCCCTCGGCCTCCACCGACCACTGCTCACCCTCCCTGCTACGCTGGGCCTCTCTGATCTTTCTCCTGGAACTCTCAGGTGCTATCTCAGCTCAGGAACTGGGTACATCCGTTTCTATTCTTCATCACCATCAATTGCACCAATAGCATTCCTATAAACCCTCTCTCCCCAAACGTGTAGCATGTATGTAGTCATCCGTCCACACTCCCACCCCCACCCCCACCCCCACCCCCTGTTCTCTCTGATCCTCTGGCTCTATACCTTCGTGGTACAATTTTTAGCACACTTATTTATCTGTGGGGTGTGATCTAGGGCCTGCACAGTGGGCATGTAGGGATCAGAGAATTAACTTGTGGGAGTTGATTTTTCCCCTTGTACCATGTGTGTGTGTCCTGGGATAAAAATCCAGGTCACCGGCCGGGTGTTGGTGGCGCACGCCTTTAATCCCAGCACTCGGGAGGCAGAGGCAGGCGGATTTCTGTGAGTTCGAGGCCAGCCTGGTCTACAAGAGCTAGTTCCAGGACAGCCTCCAAAACCACAGAGAAACCCTGTCTCGAAAAACAAAAAAACAAACAAACAAACAAACAAAAAAATCCAGGTCACCAGGCTTGGCATCGGGCACCTTTACCTGTTAACCCATCTCCCGGCTCCCTAAGGTCTAATTTCTTATTTAATATCTTTCCCTCCACTAAACTCAAGTTACTAAGAGCAGTCTACCATTGTGTTTATCATTATTAGCTCAGCATTGCTAGCACAGTGGTTCTCAACCTTCCTGACGCTGAAATCCTTTAACACAGTTCCTCATTTTATGGTGTCCCCCAACCACAAAATCACTTTCATTGCTACTTTGCAACTGTAATTTTGCTACTGTTATGAATCATAATATAAATGTCTGATATGCTAGCCTTGTGAAAAAGTTGTTTGATCTCCCTAAGTGGGTCGTGACCCACAGGTTGAGAACCACTGACTTAACATCATACCTCCAAAATTACCTATTAGTATATTAATCCAATACCCTAAAAAGTGTAGGTGTTACAATATGGTCTATTAGTGTGTTTTGTTTCAAAGTGCCTCAGGGAGTTGAGGTTCTCAGTGCTTAATGACACATATATCTGCACAGTTTATAAATTTGTTGAGTTCGCCAAAAATAAATAAGTCAACTCTCACTCCTGGATTCCATTCATCTTTAACTTTCCTGGCAGAGCTAGGCATGGTCACACCAGCTTTCTGAAGCATGTTTGTATAAAGTGAACTGTTTCTGCCCTTGGGTGCTGTGTAAGGAGCCACTGCCAAGCGTGGTGACCGGAGCCTTTTTATTGACTGCGGGTTCTGGAAGTGCTGAGCTTAAGAGGGGCAAAGCAGGATCGATGTCAACCCCTGCTTCATCTGGGGCCTCAGCTCAGGTCTGTCTGCGACAGTTAGCCTGGGGCCATGTGTCTGGCATGGAATTCTGGCTGTCACCTGGGTTCCTCATTGTTCTATGTAGCCCACATGTGGCTGCCAATGGTGCCTCGGTGTCTAAAAGGCCCTGTTCCAAGAACAAAAAGTCCCAGAATGCAAACAACTGTCTAACCTTCGCTTGTGTCACAGTAGCTAATGTCCCATCGGGAAAACAAATCACACAGTAGGGGACAGGGTCTTTAGTTATGATTCACCAGCGGTCCCCACATCAATTATCCACTGCACTTGTATTCACATCTGGGAAACACCTGGAACCTAGGTCTCAAGTCTGTGTACTGCAAGACCAAACCACACCCACACACCCCAATAAACAAAATCCTTTCTTTTAAAGGGAAAATTACAACAATTATGACCTGAACAGAAACTTCCCTGATGCCTTCGAATATAATAATGTGTCAAAGCAGCCTGAGACCCTGGCAATCATGAAGTGGCTGAAAACAGAGACATTTGTCCTGTCTGCGAATCTCCACGGGGGCGCCCTGGTGGCCAGCTACCCCTTCGATAATGGCGTGCAAGGTAGGTGATGTGACCAACTTCTGGCAGGCCTCAGCTTCGAGCACTCCACCCTGGGACAGAATGAAGTCTGCAACCCATGCTTAACTTTCTCTGGATGGCAAAACAAAAGCCCCACTTTCCCTAATGCTGATCAGTCCTTCCTGTCATTGGATTGTTGTTGTTGTTTGTAGAGGAAAAGGAGTAAGAATAAATCTCATGTGTACCAGGGTGCCCAAAACAGACTACATAGCTGAGAGTGACCTTGAACTTCTGATCCACACAGGCTTGCACCACCCGGCCTGGTTTATGAAAGACTGGAGATCAAACCCAGGCTTTTGTGTGTGCTAGGCAAACCCTGGGCAGCCTGAGCTACATGGTCAGCTCTTCCTGTAATTCTTAAACAGTTGATGGACAATGAGGCTGAAATGACAACCCAGTAACAAGATACTCACGGGTGAAATCCTACAGCCAGATGGACATTGTATCACACATTTAGGCTTTGTGGCTAGAAGAAAACAAAACCAGGATGGCTTACCTTTTTTTTTTAAATCTCATGAACAGTGTTGACGCTAGTGGTTCTCAGTCTGTGGGGCTCGACCCCTTTGCAAGTCTAATGACCTTTTCACAGGGTTGCATATCAGATATCCTGAATATCAGGTATTTACATTATGATTCATAACAGTAGCAAAATTATAGTTATGAAGTAGCAACAGATATAATTTTATGGTTGGGGATCAGCACAACATGAGGAACTGTATTAAGGGGTTGCAGCAGTAGGAAAGTGGAGAACCCTGCTTTAGAGTCTGTTGAATGAGATGTACTTTATATAAGGACCAGGCATGGTGGTGCACACCTTTAATCTCAGCACTTGGGAGGCGAGACAGGGGATCTCTGTGAGCTCAAGGCCAGCCTGTGTATATAGTGAGTTCCCGGACAGCCAGGACTATTTAGAAAGACCCTGTATCAGAAAACAAACAACCAACAACTTTTAAAAAAATCTGAATATATGACAATGATGACAGTGGCATCCACGGGCCCCTAGCAGCAGTACCTAAGGGAAGTTGCTGAACTCCAGAAACTGACAAGCATGGTGAAGAGGTGACTTCATTTTTAGACCAATTATTCTGTGAGTTGACACTCTTGTTAGTTAAAAGCAGAAAGAGGATGGGGGGCATACCTTAGTAGGGTTCCTATTGCTTCAAAGAGACACCATGATCACAGCAACTCTTATGAAAGCAAAATATTTAATTGGGGTGGCTTACAGTTTCAAAGGTTCAAAGGTTCAAAGGTTCAGTCCATTATCATCATGGAAAGCATGGTGGTGTGCAGGCCGGCATGGTGCTGGAGAAGGAGCCAAGAGCTCTACCTTTTGATCCTCAGGCAACAGGAAGTGAACTAAGTGTCACACTGAGTGTAGCTTGAGCAAAGGAGACCTCAAAGCCCACCCCCACAGTGACATACTTCCTCCAACAAGGTCACACCTCCTAATAGTACCACTCCCTATGGGTATATGGAGGGCAGTTACATTCAGATTACCACAGGGATTGTTCAGAGGTAGAGAATGAGATTGTGTGTGCTGTGATAAGTCTGCTGATGTGTTTTGTACATTTCCCTTTGTCTTTCTAACACAGCCACAGGGACACTGTTGTCCCGAAGCCTAACTCCAGATGACGATGTTTTTCAACACCTCGCATATACCTATGCTTCCCGGAACCCCAATATGACGAAAGGAGATCAGTGCAAAAACAAAAGGAACTTCCCCAATGGAATTACTAATGGGTACGCCTGGTATCCACTGCAAGGTGAGCTTGTCATCCTTATATCCGCCTTGCTGCCTTCACCCGGAGGTACCAGCTAGTGTCAAAAGATCTCTAAGGCACAATGTGGTCCCTCAGGTGGGTCTCCATCCCATAATAGCACAGGAGCAGTGGAGGTGACCGGCAGTTTTGGAGCGTGTAGAGACGTGTGCCTCACTGCCCATGGCCTCCTTCATTGACTCGGACGTTTGTTCCTTGATTCGATGTGTGCTCAGTACATCCAGAAACAATGCCAAGGAAGACGGAAGACTGCCTGACCCTCCAATGGGATGAGAATAAGGAGTTGGGTTACAGTGCCTTGAGAGTAGGAAGAGAGGGTCAGACAAGGTGCAGATGTTGCAAAGGGGTCGGCAGCCATAGCCGACACCATCAGGGACCTGGGAGGAAGGTGGTGCTTATGTCCCTCCTACAAGGATGGCTGCCCCTGATTATGACCGTGCAGTAGTGGAACCCATGTGGTCTCTTTCCAACTTACAAACGAAGTTGGATGTTGTGAAGAAATTCTCTTCAGGCAGGACCAGGGAGTGGGGCTCTGGTTTCCCATCCTTAAATAAGATGGCTAGACAAAGGAAGGGTCACAGTGGAGGGAGTTCAGAAGGAAAGCTATTCCTGTTGTTTTGTTTTGTCTCGTCTTCTTGGCGGTATTGGGGATTGAAACTAAGGCTTTGCATGTGCAAGTGCAAATTTGAAGTGAACTATCAGTGTACTATCCTCAGCCCTCTTTCACTCTTGAGACAGGGCTTACTAAATTGCCCAGGCTGGCTTTGAACTTTCAATTCCCCTGTCTCAGCCTCCCAAGTAGCTGGGATTTACAGGCCTGCACCCTAAGGCATAGCTCACACTCACCGGAAAGAGTAATGTCAGCAGAAGCCCAGGGGTGTATGGAAACTGGGAGAGACGTAGGGAGGGAGGGCAAGAGGAATGCCCTGATGCTAGCCCCAAGCAGCCATTCCCCCAGACTAGTGGGCCTGGCCCGCCGACAGCAAGCTTTGGTCTGCATTTCTGCACACAGGCCATTTCCACAGCTGTCACTTTGGGAGCATGGGCTGTCTGGTAATCTAGCACAAACTGGTACTTTTGTGTCTGAGTGGCCTGCTGCCAACTTTCCAGATGAAGTAAATAAGCCTCAATTGATGGTGTTCAGGCACCGGGCCCTGCTAGACACGGAGGCACCCTAAAATTCATTCTGTTCAAGATCTGTTCCCACCCACCTCAGGTCGCCAACACAGTCCTGGTCCTCAATCTTCGTCACTACAAATGACCTTCTGTTTTGTGGTACAACTGTCCTTCATGGTCACTGTAACTGCCAAGACAAAAATCCAGATGTGTGGAAAATTTCCAAAGTTGTTGCAAGTTATTTTCAATTGTGTAAGGGTAGGTGTGTGTGTGTGTGTGTGTGTGTGTATGAAAATGGATTCTGAGAGGAATGAAAAATCCATAGGGTAAAATAACAGAAATTGAAAGGACAAAGAAATTCTTTGTCTCTAGAATCTGGGTCTATATTAGATTACTTAACATTTTGATATTTTCTTTGTGAGTTTTTAAAAAAATATTTCTTCATTTATGCATTTTATGTATATGAGCGTTTTCCCTGCATGTATGTCTGTGAACCACAGGGTGCCCTGTGCCACAGAGGCCACAGAGGGCATCAGCTCTTGTGGAGCCGGAGTTATAGAGGGTTGTGAGCTGCCGTGTGGGTGCTGGGTGTCAAATCTGGGTCCTCTGTAATTGCAGACAGTGCTCTTGCCAACCTCCCCCCTCCCTCGACACCCAGACATCTCTCCACCCCTTGACCACTTGTTGAAATTGAACTTGTGTAGTACCTGTGGAAGTGAGAACACATTTTTGCCTATTCTTAGGCTGATACTGTAGTAGTTACTTTTGTCATTTCTGGGAATGACCACTGCAACTGAGAGGAAGGAGGCTTCCTCTACCTCACATTTGCACGACGGGTGAGGCCGAGGCTGGGCCATTGGCAGATCAGGAAGCAGAGGCCACTGGCCAGACCCAGGACAGATGCCACCCTCCAGCCCTATCACTGTCTCCCTGCCTCTGTCGGGACCAACCAAGGGCCAAGTGCTCAGACACATGAGCCTGCAGGAAGGCGTTTCAGATTCAAACATACCAGGTACCAAGCAGAAGGTGGTAAAATCCACTTCCTTCAGAGCTATAGGGCTGGCCATGTGGCTCAGTGGTGGACCACTTAACTAGTGTGATGTGACCTCAGTACAGTACGGGAGAAGAAGAAGAAAAGGGAAATTTACTGCATTTCATCAAGCCAAAGATGTCATCCCTATAAAATACAGCATGCCACCAGGAAAGACAACCCTAAGATCTCCTCAGTTAAATATGCGTTTTTCAGGCATAAAATTTAAGACACATAAATCCAGAGATGTCACATATGAAACTTCACGCCCTACAAAATATGCACTAATTATAACCTTTGAAATTAGGGTCTCCTAATGTCAAGGAATTGGAAAGGGAACATGAGCAGTGACAGCTGGAAGCCACAGGGACCCAAGTCTGAGCCTTCCTAGAACCGAGTGTCCTTTCTCTGAACCTTAGAAACACTCTGTCATCATGAGGGCCAAAGCCACGAGGCTCCTTGCAGGATGGCTGCACCCTGGTCTCTGCCGCCCACAGGCACAAGTCCCTGGACCTTCATGAGTTAATATCTATGGCTGCTGCCCTAAAGAAGGGATTGCTGTCTGCATTCAGTGACGTGACCTATAGGTCTTTGGGAAGAACCTAAAAACCCTGAGCATTCAGTAAATATTAGACATTATTATTTCCTCTAAAACCAGTGTTCCTGGTTTTAGCTAATTAATTTTATGGTTTACAAAGATATTTTTTAAAGATGTGTGTGTGTGTACCACATGTGTGCAAGTGTCTGAGGAGGCCAGAAGGAGGGGTCAGATCCTTGGAGCTGGAGGTGTGGGTGGCTTTGAGCCACCTGATGTGTGGGTACTGGGAACTGAACTCCAGGTTTTCTGGAAAAGCACTGAACACTCTTAACTGCTATGTCTTTTCTCCAGCCCTGCAGAAATATTTGTGAGAATAATCTTATCCTGCTGCCCTGGGCACCCTTTGCCCTGTAGTGCAGGCAATATGGCTGTTTACCCCACTGATTATTTGTGGTATAGTCAATAAACTGTTCTTTTTTCTTTTTTGCAATATTTTTAATTAAAAATGTTCCTGAGAACCTGAGTACTGGATTCAGTAGTCATCTCCAGTCTTCCCTCTCCTAAATAAGCTACTCTTTTTTTCTTAAAGATTTATTTATCTACTATGTATACAGTGTTCTGTCTGAATGTATGTCTACTCGTCAGAAGAGGGCACCAGATCTCACTACAGATGGTTGTGAGCCACCATTTGGTTGCTGGGAAGTGAACTCAGGACCTCTGGAAGAGCAGCCGGTGCTCTTAATTTCTGAGTCATCTCTCCAGCCCCCTAAGCTACTCTTTTTTTTTTTTTTTTTCGAGACAGGGTTTCTCTGTAGCTTTGGAGGCTGTCCTGGAACTCACTCTGTAGACCAGGCTGGCCTCGAACTCACAGAGATCCGCCTGCCTCTGCCTCCCGAGTGCTGGGATTAAAGGTGTGCGCCACCAACGCCCGGCTCCCCTAAGCTACTCTTAAAAAGAAAAAGAAAGAACTCTTATCCTAGTTTACATCCATGAAAAACATAACTTCTGCCCCTCAGCCATATCTTTAGTACTTCCTCTTAAAGTGCAGTTTAAGGAAAAACTATCTGAAATGTTGAATTTCAAAAAATAAAAAGGAAAAATAAATACATAAATAATGAAAAGGGCTCTTTCTCCACCTCTCACTTAATTTTGGTGCAGAATTGAACAGCAGTCAACTCCGACCCAGTTACCCCATGGGATTCTTTGTGTCCGCCTTGTCACGTGGTGATGAAACGTCACTGCGCATGCTAACACAGCCAGTGCTCATTCTTTGTGTCCGCCCTGTCACGTGGTGATGAAACGTCACTGCGCATGCTAACACAGCCAGTGCTCATTCTTTGTGTCCGCCCTGTCACGTGGTGATGAAACGTCACTGCACATGCTAACACAGCCAGTGCCCTTTGTCCATTTCTAAGTGCGTCCTTGCGACTGTCTCCTCCGCACATTTCCTAGGCATGCGATACTTGGCTCGCCTCCAGCACTGGACCTTAACAAAAATGAAATGTGCTTGTTTTTAGGTGGAATGCAAGATTACAACTACATCTGGGCCCAGTGTTTTGAAATTACACTGGAGCTGTCGTGCTGCAAATACCCTCGAGAAGAAAAGTTGCCGTTGTTTTGGAATGACAACAGAGCCTCTTTGATTGAATACATAAGACAGGTGCACCTAGGTTTGTGTCTAATACTACTTGTTAACACACACGGCATGCAAAGAACCCTTGGGTCAAGCAGGTTCAAAACCTCTTGGGGGCTTGGGGGCAGGACCTCGTTTTCAGCACTAGGGTTTGAATTCCCTACGTTATTTTATCTGCAGTGTGTGAGCGGTGCTGTGCACAGCTGTTCCTAAGACAGGATGGTTCCTGTTCAGTTGATTTGAGGGTGTAAAAGCCCAGAGTACCCCTAATTTTACACATTGAATGATATGTAAATCTGACATAAGAGCAGGAAAACAAGACAGTCCTCTTGCAACATCTCCAATTAGAGGCCTAGTTTGAGCTCCCTAGATGGCTCAGCAGGTAAAGGTGCCTACACCACCTGGTGACCTAAGGTCAGCCTGGGGGCCACTCCTGCAAGGTGTTCTCTGGCCTCCACACACTTATGTCATTCCACACAAGTGACCCCAACCAAATAAACAGATAAATCTAAAAGAATTTTTAAATAAACCAAATCCCACCAGCATCTGAATAACATACAAACATGCTTACTGGCTCCTCCTCCTCCCTCTTACGTAATGTCTCTGTTGGGGCCTCTGCTGTTGTTTTGACATCCAGCTCTCTCATTGGCCTTTCTGTGTTCTTCTGACATCCAGCTCTCATTGGCCTTTCTCTGTGGTCCTGACATCCAGCTCTCATTGGCCTTTCTCTGTTGTTCTGACATCCAGCTCTCATTGGCCTTTCTCTGTGGTTCTGACATCCAGCTCTCTCATTGGCCTTTCTCTGTTGTTCTGACATCCAGCTCTCTCATTGGCCTTTCTCTGTTCTTCTGACATCCAGCTCTCATTGGCCTTTCTCTGTGGTCCTGACATCCAGCTCTCATTGGCCTTTCTCTGTTGTTCTGACATCCAGCTCTCATTGGCCTTTCTCTGTGGTTCTGACATCCAGCTCTCTCATTGGCCTTTCTCTGTTGTTCTGACATCCAGCTCTCTCATTGGCCTTTCTCTGTTCTTCTGACATCCAGCTCTCATTGGCCTTTCTCTGTTGTTCTGACATCCAGCTCTCTCATTGGCCTTTCTCTGTGGTCCTGACATCCAGCTCTCTCATTGGCCTTTCTCTGTGGTCCTGAAATCGTCTAACTGGCCCATCGAAGTTCTCCCAGGATTGATCCTTTGGTGTTTCTCTGAATTCTTTTGTGAAGTCCACCCTTCGTCAGTACCCGTGGGGAAGTGTGGCGGAACATGACGTGTCCCTGCACCTCACTGCTCTCTCTCCCTGTGGACTCTTGATCTGGCTGTCCCGGATGACTCAGAGAGAGCTGAATCGGGGCACACTTTGCCTGCCATGTTAATAGGATATGACTGTGCAGGAGCTGTGCAACCCGATAAATACCACACAAGTCGTAGCTTAAGTATTGTTACTGTTAATGCAGAAGTAATAATACAAGCCTGTTTAATTGTGTTGTATCAAGAATATTTGTCTGGCCAGGCGGTGGTGGCACACGCCTTTAATCCCAGCACTCTGGAGGCAGAGGCAGGAGGATCTCTGTGAGTTTGAGACCAGCCTGGTCTATAAGAGCTAATTCCAGGACAAGTCTCCAAAGCCACAGAGAAACCCTGTCTCAAAGAAAAAAAGAAAAAAAAAAAAAAAGAATATTTGTTTGCCTGTCCCTGCAATCAGACGAGAGCTCACTTCACAGTACGTTTATTAGCATATCAACCCTGCCCCCTTGTGGTGTAAAACAGTAATATCTTTTTCTGATTTAAAAAAAAAATAGGAAAGTTTCAAATCACTGATGTGTGGTTGTTCCTACTTAGTAGAACGTCTTGGTCCCTACTAGGGCCCTGGCTGACATCAAGGAGCATTTCATTTGTAGATGATGAGGGCAAGTTCCCTTTGTTGTCACTCCCTGGTCTTTGTCACACTGTATTCATCCACTGACTCAGTTCACCTCATGCTTGGAGGCTCGGAGTCATCGGGAAGCCTCTGACCAGCCCTATCCCAGACAGAAGAGCCTCCTCGGTAGCACAAGGGCCTGGCCTAGAGGGCCGGAGCAAGTGTGGCCGCCGCACCGCTTGGGTTATTCTCATTTCTGATCTTCCGTTTTGACGATAAATGCTATAACTGAATAGCCAGTAACCAGCGAATTTAAGCTGTAGACCAGGCTTGTAGCTCAATTGTGATTTACAGGGATCAAAATTACTCTCCTTTCTTTAACACTGTTGGACAGATGAATACTAGGAATATATTTCTTAAATCACTAAAGAGGAAATTTCTTCCACATGCCATAAGAGGTTTTATTTAGTTTAAAATTCTTAAATTTTATTATTACTATGCAGGCCAGTGGACAGTTTTTTAGGGAGTTTCTTCTCTCTTCCCACTGTGGGTTCCAAGGATTGAACTCAGGTCTTCAGGTTTATCCATCAAGAATTTTGCCCACAGAGCCATCTCACTGGCCCCAGACCTGGTATTTATATTTAATTTTCTTTTTGTCCTGCAGGGGTAAAAGGGCAAGTGTTTGACCAGAATAGAAATCCGTTGCCGAATGTAATTGTGGAAGTCCAAGACAGAAAACACATCTGCCCATATCGAACCAACAAACTCGGAGAGTACTACCTACTTCTCTTGCCGGGGTCCTACGTGATCAATGTAAGTGGGCAAGGCCAGCTGCTGTGAAAACATAGAATGCACAGTGCTCGCCTAGGACTGCCCAAAATAAGAGAAAACCTAACTGGGGGACAGCAAGGCAGAAAGAAAGGTGACCTCAGGTGACAGGAAAGGAGTGGAGAGGAACAAACTAGGAAGGAAAATCATGTGTTCTCCTAACTGGCAGGTAACTCTTGTTTGAAGCCAAGTACTATTGTTTTTCTTTCTTTTTTTTTCATATTGAGTATTCGTGCTATGCACACTGCAGAGGTCAGAAGGCAGCTGGGGGGGGGGGCAGGGAGGGTCAGTTTGCTCCTTCCAGCAAACATTCCAGAGATTAAACTCAGGCTGTCGGGTGTGCCAAGCAAGCACTTTTACCTGGTGAACCATCTCGAGATGGCTGTCCCAACAAACACGTGCAACCTCATTATTTAGCCAGGGGCAAGCCAAGGTGAGCCAAGGTGCCTTGCATGTGCCCCTGCCAGAGAGGCCAGGGCAGCAAAGGAGACGCTGTATTGTCAGGATGAATGAGGGAGAACTCAGAAGACTAGCAAAGGAGTAACAGGAGCCCTCACGGCAGGGATGGTTGGAAAGGAACCCAGAGAAAAGAAGGAAGGAAGCTCCTGGCAACTTCAGCCCCTCCCCCACCCCCCCACCCTCGGGGAAGGCAGAGAAGTGCCATCGAGCACCGGCATGGCAGGGGACCATGAATGAAAAGTCCCAAGTTTTAGATTCAATCTGGGGGGCTGTTCTGAAAGTGACTCTCCCATTCCAAAGAAGGTTGTCACTTCAAACTCTTCCTTGCCATTCCACAGCCACTGCTGGGCACTGTCTTGGCTTAGGAGCTGGTAGCCCAACCTGGACTCTGACCACAGTCTTGGTCCAGTATTCATTTCATTGAACAGAAGAAAGACCCCTCAGAGTCCAGCAGCTACCAGAGCCAAAGCCCAACTACCGTCTCAGTCTGCCCCACAAGTTCTAGGGAAGGCTCTGCCAACCACAGCATTGGCACTGTAGCGAACCAACACTCAGTCCACAACACTCAGTCAATCGGGAGCTTAGCCAGGTGCCAGCTGAGCCCCACAGCTCCGGGGACAGAGCTCCCAACCGCTCATTCACTCACCTGGTCCTCCTCCCCAACCACAGCCTCGGGACCACGGCTGCAGACGCAAGCGGCCTCAGCTTTTCTTAGGTGTAAGGTCCATTCCCAAGTCTGTATGTGAAGGCTCACAGGCAGTACCGTACAGAATGGGAAAAGCCTAAAGAAAAGGAGCCAATCAGCAGACTCAGAACTGGGAGAAAAGATTTACAAACCACTTAGCTGCTAAGAGGTTGGTTTCTAGGATACATAAGGGACTCAGAAACCTTTAATCCCAGCACAGAGGCAGAGGCAGGTGGATTCTCTTGAGTTCCGTGGCCAACCTGGTCTACACAATGAGTTCCAGGCCAAAACACAAAGCAATCACAACTCAGCTGAAGAGGCACAAAGAACAAAGCTAGAAAAACTCGTTTTTAAAAGAAAGCAGTGGAGAGGCTCAGCAGTTCAGAAGACCCAGGCTGGTTAGTTCCAGAACCCACATGGCAGTTCACCACCATCTCTAACTCCAGTTCTAGGAGATCTGATGCCCTCTCCTGGTCTCCGTGAGCACTACACGCAAGTGGTACATAGATAACATACAGGCAAAATACCCATGCATATTAAAGAGTAGAATTGTACACTGAGATCAATGGCGAAGAGAGTGGTGACAAATTAGGGAAAGGGTAGTTGCAATCTTGCTACCCACTAAGGATACTGAGTACAGGCGTGGTGCAAAGGACACCATCCTTACCGTGACAGAATCGGCTGGCTGCGCCCTCCTTCTTCCTGACTCATCACCAGATGCTGGACGAGCCTGTGTCCTAGTTTCAATCTGTAATTCTTGGTATCAGCAGGCGCTGGGCAAACTCATCGGGCAGCAGAGCCCCTGCCCCACCACCCCCAGGCCTGGCAGGCTGTCACCCGAGGCACAAAGGCTACATCCTGGTGGTGGAGATCATGTCTTCAGCGAGGCTCCACACGCATCTGAGATCACTCATGCGATGGTTTCTTGTTCCTTCTCAGGTTACGGTCCCCGGACATGACCCACACCTCACAAGGCTGACTATCCCGAGGAAGTCCCAGACCCTTGGTGCTCTTAAAAAGGACTTCCACCTCCCGCTGCGAGCGCAACCGGATTCCATCCTCGTGTCGGACCCTCAGTGCCCCACGGTCCCGCTGTACAAACTAAGGCCAAACCACTCGGCTGCCACAGAGCCTACGTTGTGCATACTTTTCCTGACTCTTTTGCACATATTTTTCAAATAAAGTCAAATGTGAAATCAAGCCCCATCACCACCTGGAATCAGGGATTGGTTACTCCAGGTGATGGCAACTGTCCCTCTTCCGAGACTGCCATGGGATAAACGCCGCTGTTTTCCCTAAGGGGAAAACTGGATGTTTCCAAACCCAGCGGAGAGCAGCATCCGATGACAAAAGTGACCTTCTGTCTGGATGATTGGAGGTCACTGCCTAGCAAGTGCAGCCCACATGACACCCCACCCTGAAGCAGTTCCAAAAAGTTGCAAGAATCTTGAGAAGCAGGCAAAACAGACATCCCTAGAAAGAAAAAAAAAGCTAATTTTGTGTACAGAAAGGTCAATGGATCTGAGCAGCCATAAACACTTCCTGACCACCTACTGTGTGCAACCTTGCCATGAGTGTTCTTTGGAAAGAGCTAACACCACGTAGAAGTGGCTCTCCCCAAAGGAAGAGATTCCTAGGTAACCGGACTGAAAGCATGGACTTTTCCAGTGTTCTAAGGAGAAATGAGCGGGAATGGGCAAGCTTGCCTGAGGTGTATACAGAGCGCATCAGATGAAGTGGCCTCTGTCTCCAGTGCTGGTGTCCCGCCTCTTTGCACCCAATGCCACCGTCCGGTCAAGATGGCACCGCACCTCGTATGTAATCCTAACCTATCGCCCGAGTCCCAGATGCTCCCTGGACACACGCACTCAGATACGACCCCATGTGAACTTGACCTCATCCTGCTGACAGTTGAGATGCCATGCGAAGGCTGGTCCTGCTTCGTGAGTCCCCGTTGATGCTTTCTTCATTTGGGTATCCAGCCAGTCACTGAAAGCTGCTGTGTTGGTGCATCCTGTCCTCTCACGCCAGTTAGTCCCCCTCACTGCTGACCCGGCATCACGGTCTCTTGCTCATGGTATCCCTTTGCCAGGCCCATCTTCCACACAGCACTGGAGGAGGGGGGCTGCCCAAAAGCCCTCCAGCTCCCTAAACACAACACGGTGCTCGCCGTCCCAGATCTGCATGCCATTCTGATTGTGCCGAATCTTGTTTCCCACTCAGTAAAACATCCCAAGCATCTTCTTTAACAGGAAGACTTGCTATTCCTGTCCCATGAAATTCCGGCTACCTGGGTCCAGGCCGGTCCTCTTGGCCCCTTCAGATGAGCTGGTTGTCTTGGTTACTAGTTGACAGCACAGTGGTGCTAGCTACTTCATGCTGGCCTTCTCTAGTCTGGCATGGGCGGTCAGGATCTACTTGTTGGAAAAGTTCACTCCTGTATCCTCAGAGCCTAGCACAAAATAGGAAATGAAGGGGGTGGGGGAGGTGTTTCAGCAGACCTTTCCAGAACTGTAGGGATTTAAGCAGTTTTATGAAAATAAGTTTTACATTTGGCAGCATTCAGCACACTACTGTACATACACACACACACACACACACACACACACACACACACACACACACATTCTTACAATCAGTCTGAGGTAGAAGCACCCCCTGTGGAAGTAAATGTATTCTAATTCATTTCGAGAATTGAGAGAAGACTGGGTGAGGTGGCGCACGCCCTTAACCCCAGCACTCAGGAGGCAGAGGCAGGCGGATCTCTGAGCCCTAGGCCAGCAGGGCTACACAGAGAGAGACACTGTCTCAGAAATAGATAAATAAATAAGAATGAAGCTCAAACAGGAAAGTCAGTAAACTCTGGTGTGCAGGGTTCTGAGGGCATTTTCTATGGGACTGCGTCATCTGGTTCTTCAGTCCTAAGCCCTGCATGGCTGTGAAACCATTTGGGGCTTGACACATGGTGAAGGCTTGAGACTCCAAAGAGCCGAAGAGATCCAGGGGCACCTTGATGCCCTTTCTCGGTGCCAAACTTATTCTCTACTTTAATATCTGTAGTATTTGAAGTTTTTAACCACTTCCAAATTTTAAAAAAGCATGACTGTCTTGATCATTTTACTTCATCATTAGCTTGTATCTTGGAAAGCATGTATTAATATTTTGGAAAGTGATTTGGATATGTTACCTTTAAAGTACAAATGTAAAGTATAAAGCCAGATGTGGTGGCTGAGGCAAGAAGACTGACACAAGTTCAAGACCAACCTGGACTATAAGTGAGACCCATCTTAGGAAAACAAAAACAGTAAAATTTGGTTTTTGTGGGGTTTTTTTTGTTTTGGGGGGGTTCGAGACTGGGTTTCTGTGGCTTTGGAGGCTGTCCTAGCTCTTGTAGACCAGGCTAGTCTCAAACTCACAGAGATCCTCCTGCCTCTGCCTCCCAAGTGCTGGGGTTAAAGGCGTGCGCCACCACCTCCTGGCTACAATAAAATTTGTAAGAGCAAACTTGGTTTGCCATGGAGGGTCTGAATTCTGACTGACCCTTTTCTAGAGTAGTTTTTAAAGGAAATGAGCTGTTTTCTGAACTGGCTCATGGGCCTAACAGAAAACTGGTTATTGAAATAACTTGCAAATGGATGTGTCTTACTGGAGACTGGCCCAGGGTTTTATACACATGGGAAAAGTGCTCTGCCACTGAGCCACACCTACTTCTGTTATTAGTTTTTGTTTTGACACAAGGTCTCACTAAATTGTGTAGGTTGGGCTTGAAACTCACCATACTCCAGGCTTGGCTTTGAGTCTGCCTGCCTTAGCCTCCGAAGTAGCTGTTATAGTCTGGATCACTATGTACATCTTAAGGTAATGTTACTTAGATCAGAAATCTGTATTAAAACCCAATTAAATGTCAACTAAACAGGGTAAGGGGCGCAGCTTAGCGTACACAAAGTCTTGGGTTCCATCTCTAGGAACTACCCCACCCTCAAGACAAAGCATGACTGTTAAATTATTCTATGGTCCGGGACCTCAAATCTCCACAAAACCCGTCCCTGTGTCCTCTAACCTGATGGATACGATTTAAGGTTCCAAATTCAGGTGTAACACTTGTATATCGGAACAGTGCAGGCGTCGAATGATGACGGCACATGCTCCCCAGTAGTCCTGATGTTGACAACAGTGGTGGTACAGACCACATTCTGGTGCTCCTCCAGGTTGAGAAAGCACAACTAGTATTTGGGTGAGTAACTACTTTGAAGGCAGAGCACCGTATTAAAGGTTTGAGTGGCAAACTGAAAGACGGGTTAGCAAGAATCATGTCATTTTCAAAGAAACTCTTCACAAAGTGACCCAGCTCACCTGTGTGCCTACTCTGATTGAGATGGGTGATATCCCAGCACACAGGAGGCAGAGGCAGGTGGATCTCTTGAGTTTAAGGCCAGCCTGGTCCACAGAGTGAGTCCCAGGATAGTCAGAGCTACATAATAGAGACCCTGTCTCAAAAGACAAAAAAACAAACAGGATAAATGAGTGGTGGATGTTTGGGGAAACGATAAGTGGGTACTTTGTTTTTCACTCAACAGACTGCATAGCATACCAGAAATGGTTGGCCTCCTCTGTTCACTTCTCAGTGTCTTTCAAGAATCAATGGCATGCTCTGTTCCAGATGCAAATGTGTACATGTAATGTCTCTCAGTGGTGTACGCTAGCTCTACTTTCCAATGTATGAAGCGACGCTGGGTGGAGAAGTATCTATTTCTAGGAGATGTGTTCAAATCCGCATCACACGGGTAGTCTCCTGCTATAGAGGTTTGACTCTCGTTCTGGGAGGCAGCAATCTGGTGGATGTTTGTGAGCTGGCTTCTGCCTTCCTGCTGGCCTGGGGCGGGGGTAATGGTTAGATTAGGTAAAGAACAGTGTTCTGGATGCTGACACCATATTTCACACTCCTGGGTTTGTTCTAGACTTTACATCACTAATAAGCACATACGGTACTGTGTAACTCACAGACCATTTTATCATATTTTAGCACGCAAGCCACTTCACGGCCTTTCGAAAAGTGGCTTCTTGCTAGTTTTTGATTACAAGCTTCTCAGTGATTCTTGTCATTAAAAGACAGTATAGCAAGATGCTCAGATTGAGCCGGGTAGTGGTGTTGAAGAGAAAGGCAGATCTCTGTGGGTTCAAGGACAGCCAGGATTACACAGAGAAACTATGTCTCAAAAAAAATATGGTCAGATTGTCTAAGACTGTAACATTGGCTGTGGAGGGGCCATGACTACCTCTGAGCTTATTAAATCTACATTATCTGTTTATCAATAAAGAATACTCATATAGTGAATGCTGTCTCTTTCCATTACTTTTTTGTTTGCAAACATAACAAAACCTACAAACTATAAAAGACAGCCATCAAATATACTGTAGGAGAGACCAAATTTAAGATCATAGACAAGAATGTTTCACCAGTATTCCCAAAAGTTCAGTTGGTGCTTCCAGGACAGTGTATGCTATTTATGACACACTCTGAGTTAATTTAATTGTGTGGTGTGTTTTCCATGGGCAAGACGATGGACAAGAGTGTCTTCTGATCAAAAAAACTAATTGGGGCAAAGGGTGCAGGTCAGCGTGGATGTGCTGGCCAAGCTTGCACGAGGCCTGGACTCGGTCTCCAACATCACAGAAACACAACACTTGGGAGAATCACACTATCACAGTAAAAGAGCTGTGAACTCATGCAGGAGAGAAACCGACTTCCCAAGTACACGTAGCCAAGGAACCATTTCGTAAATCATCAGCCTAATGTAATCTTAGATTTCCAAACACATTTTGAGGCATCCTGGAAAAAACATTTGTCCAGAGTTGTAAGTTTTATTGGCTGTCCCCAGTCCTTTTGTTGAAACACACAGCATAGTTATGAACAAAAAAATTTGCTTTCAGGAGCTGGGAAACTTAAGGATCCTAACCTCATCTATAAAAATCTTGCTAATTGGGCGAGGCAGTGGTCTGCAAGTGGATCTCTGTGAGTTCGAGACTAACATGGTCAACAGAGCAAGGGCAGTCAGGGCTACACAGAGAAACCCTGTCTCAAAAAATAAAATAAAAAAAGACATGCTGGTGATTTTTGGTCAGAGAGTAGAGATCAGGGCATTGCCACTATTGAAGCATCCATTACAAACCTACTTCACAGAGGACAAAGCAGTTTTAAGATGAACTAAACTTTAAATGTTTTAATTGTGTGTATACAATGCATGTCCACGCTCTGTGGTGCTCATGTGGAGGTCAGAGGGCAAACTGGATGTCAGCTCTCTCCTTCCACCAAGTGAGTTCTGGAATTAAACAGCCTGAGGCTTAGCAGCAGGCGCCTTTAAAAACAGGTATAAATGGAGTTCTTAATTGGTCTAGATAATAAAAAGGTGGGGTCAGATATAGAAGTTTAGTATAAAACTATCCTTAGCATCTCAGCAGAAAAGAGTGATTCCCTGTTTCTCCGGCTTATATCCTGTTTCTGCCCAGCTTCGTTACTTCCTGTCTGTCTGTACAGACCTCCAGACCTTATGGTTAGCTAGTGGCAAGCTCCATTCTCTGACAGACTTTGTGTAAGAAAGATATCACAATTATGAGAGAAAGTCAGAAAAAATCAAAGTATAAACAGTTTCTGGATAGCAGGACTGTTTCCTCCCCCCATTTATTTCATGAGTGTGAGAGGGCTGAAACCCCAGCCTCCAAATTTCCCGTTGCTTTTGTAATGGGGAAAAAAGGCAACTCATTAACTATGTCAAAATAAAAGCAACAACTAATCAAGGCCTGTGTCCAATAATAAAGCATTGTTATTTGTTTGCAGTTTTTTCAATGAAATTGGACTCTTAATTCTTTGCTCTGGCAGCCAGCAACTTCTCCTCCTGAGCTATTCCAGTAGCAGCTATATGTCTACCGCTAATGGGTGGGTGCTTGAGCTCAGCCCTCCTGACATGCTGCTTCCAAGCCATAGTCCCATGCTAACTCTGGAAACCTTTTTATTTAAAAAAAAAAAAAAGTCTGGAAATGGGAAGGGGCAATGAATTATATAAAGGGTATAGAGGGTTCTTTTCTGTTACAATTCTGACCTGAGTCTTTTTTTTTTTTTAAAGATTTTATTTATTTATTATGAATACAACATCCTGCCTCTATGTATGTCTGCAAGCCAGGAGAGGGCACCAGATCTCATTACGGATGGTTGTAAGCCACCATGTGGTTGCTGGGAATTGAACTCAGGACCTCTGGAAGAGCAGTCAGTGCTCTTAACCTCTAAGCCATCTCTCCAGCCCCTGACCTGAGTCTTAAAGACCAGTCTTCATAGAACATTTTAGGGGGGAAATTTTTTTATACCAACAGTATTTTTTTGTATTTTAAGAGGTTGTCTTCTTTAAAATTAGGGAGAAAAAAAGTCTGCATTAAATGTTCTCCTTGCCTGTCAACATCCTGGATGTCCAACTGTATGCACTATGCACTTCATGATAGCTTGAGGAAGGAAACTGAAGGAAGCCACCATCTAACCAGGGAGAGAAAATACAAAGGCCCCGTAACCACGTATTTGAACATACTGGATCAGAGCTACCTAGCTGGGTTCTGGAAATGGCTAGTCACAAATGAGTCCTAAAGAATCCTATTAAGCTAACTTCTGTTCCAAGTGGCTGTGCCAGACCTCTCCCAGTCTCTAGACTTAACCTCTAAATCCCAAAGACTGATGCAATTACTTTTTCCAGGGATTCAGTTTGGGGGGTCTGTCTGCATGCTGTTATTGTGTGGCTATCCTCAAGACCCAGGTCCCAAGACAAACTAAATTACTTTCCCCTGAGTGCTAAGACAATTGACTTGAGTTCATTCGTGCACTTGGTTCAATCACCAGCCCCATTAGGTCAATTCCTGATGAGCACCTATAAAGCTGGGACAAGACATTCCTGGCTTCCTGGGATTTAGCTTCTAAGAAAACAATTTCAGTAAGGTTACTATACCATTCATTGCCACCAAGTGAAACACTACGTAAGTCAGCCTGCCACCTGGTGGACCCACAAGCGGATAGTGACAAGGGCATTCATTCTTGCCCGTCCTAAACTACAGCATTACTTCTTCCTCAGTGCCCTGGTGGCTCCGGACAGCATCACAGCAAAGTGGGAAAGTACAGCCAGATGCAGACATCCAGACTTGTCAGCCATACAGGCTGTTATGAAAAATATGTAAGATTCAATGAAGCTCTTGAAACAATCCTTTAAATATTTAATAAACCATTTATTTGCAAATAAATAATGTATTATAGCACACCTAAACATTTAGAGACTAGTATTCCCCAAGGATATAGTCCTGGTACTACAAATCCAAAGAGTGGAGATGCACTGGGTTACAGGGTGCCAAACCTGAAGACTCACTCCTCACTGTTCTCCTCCTTGGATGTGAGATGCTTCTTCATGGGGAGGAGTACTTTTTGTTTTCAATGCTTAAGTCAACAAGTTTAGTACAAAACTATCCTTTGGTTACTCTAAATTTACAGTCCAGATGATTTTATTTTCTATACTTGAGCATGTGAAAAACATAGGGCCCTTTCTTTGATCAAAGGGAAAGAGTCTGATCTACATGGATGGAGAAGTCTTTTTAAAATAATATGCATGTTTCTGAATGGTTTCTAAACCTAACCTAAGAACATCAGAAACCATGGAGCTGAGCCCAAGAAGGAGCTTTCTAAGGGTCTAAGAATTTTCAACCTCGGAGAACCCACTCTGCATGACAAAAAGCTGGAAAATAAGGTGCATGTTTTTACTTACATATCACCAGATACAACTCGTACCTTTAAAAAAAATTGTGTGCACATGGAGCAGGTGTTAGATCAGAGAACAACTTCATGGACTTGGTTCCCTCCTTCCCCTTTTGGGTTCCAGGGATCAAAGCTATGTCATCCATCAGGGTTACATAGCAAGTGCCTTTTTACCAACAGCATCACCTGTCCAGCCTGTAACCACTGGAGAACTAAGGAGTTTCAGAGTTTCAATAACTTAAAATATTTAATCCTTCACACAGCTTCTAACTCCTTTCATGAGAGGTACTAAATAAATTAAATGTCCTTTGTTAGAGGAAAAAAAAGGAAATCAAAAACTTCTTACAGAGCCACTCTTCCGAAAGGACCATCATCATCTGCCGTAGTAGAGGACGCATTTCACTTCCAACAGTCAGTCCTTCCAAGTGGAAATTACTTAAAACAGAAGGAAAATGAAAAGAGCTACACAGCCAATGCAGATTACATCAAAACCCCAATGTAAAATATAATTAAGTGAAGGTATCCCAAAAGGAAGTAAACATTCTCTATCCTTACTCTCAGGGAAATAAATTGTACAATAAATTTTACATGGACAGAGACACTTTTCTCATTTTAGTGTATGCAGATAAAAATAAAACCCATATTGTGTAATCTGTGGAGTTATGTAGTTAGAAATATATAATTCTATTTTTATGGGCAGGTCAGCTAGCTGAAATAAGTTAGCACAATCATTTGTATTGGTTGTCTGCACACTGGGCAGGGCTTATTCCTTTTTTTTAGCTTCTTTGCACATGGGAAACATGACATGAGATGTCCAGTTTTGCCATGAACAATGCAACCATTTTTAGGCCGCCCTTGGCAAATCACACATGGTTCAATGGCATTAAGAGAGAAGCCAGATTCCACATTCTCCTCTTTGTCTGCTGTCTCTTCCTTCTCCCACTCTTTGACGTCTTCTTGGCTGCTATAAACAATGCTGCTGGAAGTTGAGGGCTGGGAATAGTCCTCACTCTCTTGCGACTGGGAGGTATATATTTCTTTATCATCATTCTCCTCAGTGCAGGACTCCTTAGAATCACTCGATGTAGCTTTTTTCCCATCAGGAACATCTAAGCCTTCTGCCTCCAGCTTGGCCTCTTCAGAGGCGTCCCCTCTATCTTTCTCCTTATCTTCTGGAAGCCAGTTCTCACGCAGAGTCCAACATCTGTTGCAGTGAGGTGGAAGGGGAGGATTCATTTCATTGCAGGAGGTACATTTCCAATAGTCCTTCAATAAAAGAAAACATTAGCTCTTTAATTATGAGGTCAGAACCTTCATTATGCCTAAGGTAAAAGTGTATCACATAATTTAATTTTCGACATTTCATGTATTACATAAAACAGGCAAAAAAGAACATGAGGAATGTGTTAATACTGTATCCCAGAAATCAGCTCAGAGTAGATTTAAGGCACTTTCCCTACATGTACACACACAAAAGGAGAACTATATGAAAATAATAGATGTTAGGTTCTTTGACTGCAGGTCTGGGATCAATCCCTAGCACTGTTTGAAAAGAAAAACAAAGGCAAAAAAAAGTCATAAACCTCTAACTATATTAATTTTGAAAGGTTTTTAAAAACATAGTTGGGCTGGGGAGACAGTTCACTGGTGGACTGCTGTTGGACATGTGTAAGACTCTGAGTACTTTTGTCTTCCTTCTCATAGTGGAAAATCCCAAAGCTACAATCACTCATTGTGGTACTGTGCACCTATCAAGTTGTATCGGACAAGTTTGAGGACAGACACAGTTATCCACTTAAGGGAAGTAAATGGCATAGCATTTTTTCCTCTGTATTTAAATCTGTACCCACTTCCTTCAAAGCTCAATCCTGAACACAGCCCAGAAATTACATGATAAATCCAGATGAAATCTGCTTTTCCCAGATAAACCCTTCCAACCCACATGCTCTAAAGGCCGCAGTTCAACTGAACACCCCTTTTCCATCCATAAGAGAAGTCTACAACAATTCTGTCAGCTACTAGAGCTCACATTTACCACTCTTAACCACAATCCAAAATATATGCCCTACCTACCTTGTCCATCATCTCCTGTACTCTAACTGCTCAGTGTACCCCCTCATCCCAATTTCTCTCTACACAACTGGAAAGGCAAACCCTTCCATACATATCTCTGCCTGGTCACTGAACACATCCTTCATAAACTGAAGGATAAATTTTGCCTGAGGACACTTGCTAGTGTATCCTGAATATATACCCAGTTTACACTGCCCAGCAAGCAGCCTAATATAGAAGCAATGGGGGTAGACTATATACTCTCCCACACTGACTCTTTGATTCTTGTTGAATGTGGCTTCCACTCTTACCCAAAACCAAACATAAAGGTTTTACAAGGCAGGGAATCGACATTTCAATGTTTTAAATTCTACCCCATGAAACCAAACAAATGTGGCAATAGATCCCACTCTACCAAAGAAGGAAATGTTCTAAGTCATAAGAGTTGAAAAGTTTTAACTGTATAAAATTGCCTCACTTTAAGAAGTAAACTAAGCACATTTTCACAGTTCTGATCTCAGCATTGTTTGTATTTCTATCAAGTATCTGCATACTTACAGCTAAGGAGATTTCCGGATCTCCTTCAAAGGAATCTACATCACTTTCTCCTGACTGATACACTGTGACTCGATAGACCTAATAAGACAAATTTATTAGTATCAATTTACCACCTTTAACCAAGAAAGTTGAATTCTTAGTAAGTTCTAAACAAATAGCTTGAGCCACTACTGTCCATGAGAAGTTCTGAAGGGAAAGTCAAACTCAGTTCCAGTCAAGTAGAAAATATAGGACACTAAACTCTTCACCCACCATGGCAAGTTGTTAAATACTTAAATCAAACAAAATATTCAAGAAAGCCTACTTTATAAATTTAGTTTAACCAGAAAACAATGAGAATTGTTAAAGGTATAGTTACACCCAAGAGAGATACACAGATACTGACACTTTTAACTGTTGCATATTTTATGTTTGTGAAAAACAAATTCAGAGAGGGCCAGAGAGAAGGCTCAGCGGTTAAGAGCACTGCCTGCTCTTCCAAAGGTCCTGAGTTCAATTCTCAGAAACCACATGGTGGCTCACAACCACCTGTAATGAGATCTGGTGCCACCTTCTTGCCTGCAGGCAGGCAAAACACTATATACCTAATAAATAAATCTTAAAAACAAACAAAAAAACCAAATTAGTATTAAGAAGGGAGGGACAGAAGTGGTGGCACTTGCCTTTGATCCTCCTACTCTGAAGGCAGAGGCAGAAGCAGGCAGATCACTGTGAATTGTAAGCCAGCCTGGTCTACACAGCCAGTTCAGGGTCACCAGGGCTACATGGTGATACTGCCTTATACAAACAAACAAATTAATAAGTCGGAGAGCCAAATGGAGAAGTGTGTGGGCAGGCTACTACATGAATGAACACCAAAGTCTAAGTTTCTGACTTAGTAATATGAGACTATAACAAACCAGGCAAAAAGAAACTGTTATACAATTTTGCCTTAAGTCAACAAATCAAAAAGCCAGGATCAAGTGAGTCTGAATGTACCCCATGTATCCACCATCTTATTAAGATGGCCAGCATGGAGACCCACCTCGTCATCCTCATCTGAGAGCTCCTGCCCTCCTTCACTCAGGCTGTAATCTTCTGAGTCAAGAGACTCAACTTCAAATTCTACACTGAATTGATCAGAAACTGAATCCTGATCCAGCCAATCGCCCGAGTGTTCACTTACACCATCATCAAGATCCTATGGAGAAAGAATAAAGTGAACTGAAGTACACTGCCTCTGGGCTTCAGTAAGAGCTTCTTAATTCATCCTGTGCCACTATTTCCTCCTCCTGGTCACACTACAGACTGGCACATTATTTGAATCTTCCCTACTCAAAATTTGTCTACTACACAAAGGAAGAAAAAAGGTCAAGGACCCTTAGCATTGAAGTTGCACTCATTATGGCTGCATTAACATTTTCAAATGCCCCCAGCTAAACCCACTCTCCACCCTACTCAACAGCCCCTCCAGCCAGATACAGTTTCCTAATCCTGACATTAACTTTCCCGAATTAAGATGATCTGAGTTTCTAAATCTCACTCACCTTTCTTTGGCTAAGCCTCTAACAATACATTTAATGACCTTTCCTACTTGTAAATGGAGTTCTTAATTTATCTAGATAACAAAAAGCCAAAGTCAGATACAGAGGGAAATGCTGAAAGATCAGAGAGAAGGAACAAGCCACAGCCATACCTTAACCTCCTGGGTGTCTCAGCAGACAATAGTGATTTCCTGATTCTCCCTGCTTATATCCTGTTTCTGTCCAGCTACCTCACTTCCTGTCTGTCTGTATAGACCTCCAGACCTCTATGGTTATTTAATGGCAAGTTCCATTCTATGACCCTCAGACAGGCTTTATTTGTACAAGTAAGATATCACCTACCTGATTTGAGGGGGTGTCTGTGGACTCGCTGCTGCTGCTTCTCTCACAGCATATCTCTCTTAACACACACAAAGCCAGGCTTTCATCAAAGGAAAGGGACCTGTGGCGCTTCCTCTGTCGATCACCAGGTAGCTCATCTGCATTTTCTTCTATATATTAAAGAAAATGGGTAGTTAAATCCCTATATTGTGGCTACCTGTTTGTAACAAAATTTAATTTCAATTAATTTAAACAGAAAGTCAACCATTTACATCCCAACGTCAACTGGCACACTGGGATCTATCCAGCTAAGTACATTTAAAAACTTCCAACATTTTTTCTGAACTTTTCCTCTACAAGTTACAATAAAGTAATCCATGTAGAGCTTTTACTGCCCCAACAATATGCAATTTCTCTGTCAACACTAAGCTTTAAAAAAAAACTAAGACTATGCAAGACCCGGCTGGTGAAACCCAAGAGGCAGCTCACCTGAACAAGGGGGAGCTTATGAACCCCAGACTGGTGACTGAGAGGCCAGCATGGGACTGATCCAGACCCCCTGAACGTGGGTGTCAGTAAGGAGGCCTCAGAAATTTATGGGGCCTTTGGTAGTAGATCAGTGTTTATCCCTGGTGTACAAATGGACTTTAGGAACCCATTCCATATGGAGGATGCTCTGAGCCTGGACACATGTGGGAGGGCCTAGGCCCTGCCCAGGATGATATGACAGGCTGTGAATATCCCCCATGGAAGGACTCACCCTCCGTGGGGAGCAGAGGGGGGATGGAGTGGGAGTTAGAGGGCAGGGGAGGAGGGGAGGGAGAGAGAACTGGGATTGACATGCGAAGCAAGCTTGTTTCTAGTTTAAAAAAAATAGAATAAAAAAAAAAAATAAGATTATGCAAGGTATAGTGGTGCACACCTTTAATCCTAACACCTGGGAGGCAGAGGCAGGTGAATCTGTGAGTTTGGGGCCAGCCTGGTCTATACAAGGATGCAATCTCAAGAATTAAACAGAAAAAAGATTTTACATCCTTTCACTAAAAGAACCAAAATTAGGGCTTGAAAGCAGTGGTTCTCAACCTTCCTAATACTGCAACCTTTATAACATGGTTCCTAATGTTGCTACTTAACTGTAATTTTGCTACTGCTAAGAATCATAATGTAAATATTTCTGTTTTCTGACAGTCTTAGGCCACCCTGTGAAAGGGTCATTTGACCCCAAAAGGGGTCTCAACTCATAGGTTGAGAACTGCTGCATTAGAGGATGAACCCCCAAACAAATAATTAGTCATATACACCTGTCTCACTAATTGTTCTCCTTCTAGATGAGGTAGATGGTCTAGAAACTGAATCTGAAGACGACTTCTCTTCTTGTGGCTCCTGCACAGGATCCTAAGTACACAAAAAACATAAAATATGACAAAGTAAACACACATCACAGGCTCTTCCAAGTTCTGTTTTATATAACCTTCTCAGCTTTCAAGAACTATTTGTCATGAAGCTGGAGTCTCAGAGATTAAGAATATGTGCTGTTCTTGACTGGATGATTTTGGTTTCCATCACTCATGTCTGGGGCAGTTCACAACCACCTGTAACTCCAAGCTCCAGGTGATATGACATCCTTTTCTTGCCCAAGGATGCACACACATGCTCACACACTCACAGACAATACACACAAATGAGATTTTTAAAGAGAAACATTGTATTAGAGTAAGAAATGAATTTAACTATCACCTTCTGTTCACTGCCTCCTTCAGGCTGACATCTGCTCTCACTCACTGATGTGCCGGAGTCTGAAGACTCTAATAAGAGAAAGTAAAAACTTACTCAAAATGAAGAACAAGAATTCAGCATATACCAGTCTAACACAGCCCTGCACAAAGTTTAACCTTTCAACAAACATTAACCATGCATGTCCCAAGTGTCATTTGCATGCCAAAACAAAACTTTAAAATAGCCTGAACTACAAAGTGAGTTCTAGGACAGTCTGGGGGGTGGGGGGTGGGGTAGGGAGAAGTTATACTAACCGAGGAAACAAAAGCAGTGCTTGGTAGATGTGGGGGAAAGAGACTGAAGAACTGTAATAGCCTAGGCCCAAGATGGTGTATGAAAGACATTGTGACAGAAAAAACAGTATGTAAGAAAGCACCCAGACACAAACAGTTCCTGTGGCACAAAATTAAAGACTAATTCATTGTCACTGGAATGGAAGCAGGGTCACTGTGCAAAGAGCCATGTGTGCTCAGACAAGTAACACAAGATGTCATTCTTCTGAGCAGTTATATAAACTCACCTAAGGCCACCTTGTAATCTCTCACCACTAAAAAGGTTTTAGTTTAAAAAATAAAGCTCACAGAACTATTCTCCCCAAGGAGCAATCATAAAACTCCTATATACAGTTGGGTAGTGGTGGTACAAGCCTTTAATGCCAGCACTCAGGAGGCCCAGAATCACTAGGCAAGGTGGCTCTCAGAAAGGACACTGTCGCCAAAGCCTGATGACCCGAGTTCAATCCAGAGTTTGATCTTCAGGACCCACATGATGGAATGGGAACTGACTCCTCAAGTTGTCATTTCACTTTCAAATGCACATATAGCACATAAAATGTTCATAGACACACAAATAAATGTAAGGTTTTGTTGTTAAGGAAAATCCTGGAACTGGAGAGTTGGCTCAGTGGATAAAAGCACATACTACTCTTACAGTGGACCTAAGTTCAGTTTCCCAGCAAGCATGTCAGCTGGTTCATAAGTCAACTGTAATTCCAGCTCCAGAGAATCTAACACCTGCACTTATGTGCACATACCCACATACAGGGACATACACATAAATGAAGTTTTTCTTTTTTCTTCTTCCTTTGAGACAGGGTCTCATTATGTAGACTTGGCATTTGTCACACCAGGCTTCATAATTAAATGTTTTCAAAGGCAGGTTGGAGTGATGTTTCTGGAAGCTGAGAGCACTGGATGCTCTTCCAAGAGGCATCAGCAGCTCACTCACAATAGTCTAACTCCAGTCCAGGAAATCAATGCTGTTCTTCAGCCTCTGTGGGCACTGCACACCAGAGGTGCTCAGACAAGACATACAAGCAAAACCCCGTAAAATGAAAAAAAACTTGTTTTTAACTGGGGGGAAGGGAGAGTTCAATACAGGTTTCCTTGTGTAACAGCTCTGGCTGTCCCAGAACTCACTTTGTAAACTAGGTTGGCTTTGAACTCAGAGATTCACCTGTCTGCCTTCTGAGTGCTGGGATTAAAAAGACACGTGCCACTACCTCCTGGCATTTTTAATTTTTGAAGAAAGAATGAGAATGAACCATAGAGCTATTGAGGCAGCTAACTAGCACAACACTTTCCAAGTACAGATGGGTCCCTGTGTTCAATTCCCAGCAGTGCTGAATAAATGAATGAATGCCATGTGGGTTGTAATCCCAGCTACTTAGGAAGAAACAGGAAGACAGTTCTAAACCAGTCTGCGTAACTTACAAAGATCCAATCTCAAAACAAAAAAGTAATACAGGCTAGAATTATGGCTCAGTGGTTAAGAACACTGGCTACTATTCCAGAGAGTCTCAATCCAATTCCTAGTACCCACTCAACAACTCGCAACTATCTGTAACTCCAGTTCTAGGAGACCTGACAGCGTCCCTGTCCTCACAGGCACTGCATATAGATGGTACAGACATACATGAAGTCAAAACAGTGACACACATAAGAACAATATTAATTTACAAAAAAAATAGTGGGCACTGAAAGAACTGACTAAAAAAATAAGAAAACCAGAAATACAAAATATGTCTCTGTGGTGTTTTGTTTTACCTTTTACTTTACAGTGCTAAGGGTTACAGCCACAACTGCATACTTTCAAGGAAAGCACTTTTTTTTGGGGGGGGGGGTTTACGAGACAGGGTTTTTCTGTATAACAGCTCTGGCTGTCCTGGACTCACTCTGGAGACTAGGCTGGCCTTGAACTCACAGCAATCTGCCTACCTCTGCCTCCCGAGTGCTGGGATTAAAGGCGTGCGCCACCAACGCCCGGCTTGGAAAGCACTCTTAAAAGTGTTTTGTTTTATGTTGGGTGGGGCAGGGGGAGGACTGGCGAGATGGCTCAGAAGGTAAATGTGTAAAGAGAACTAATTCCACCAAGTTGTTTTCTGACTTCCACATGGGCATCATGGTACCTATATCGCACACCACAGATGCCTGTCATATACACACACAATAAGCTACTCATTTTTTTAAAAGCTCAGGTTTCTCAGCTACATAGTGCGTTTGAGGTTAGACTAGGACACATGAGACCTTGAATCAAAAAGAACTGTCTTTAAAGTTACAGTATTTTCATAGCATTCAAAATTAACTTACCTTGCTGGCTTACGACCACCAAGTTTCTGTAGATCATTATATGTATTTTCCTTGTAAGGAAAAGAAAATTACAAACAGAGAACCTAAGGCTGAGAGAAGTCAGATCCACTTACACACCCACACAACTAACCCTGGACTCACATGACGGGAGGAGGGCTGACTCCTCAACTCCATACCCAATGGCACACGCACAATTAAAGCAGACTAACTCAACAGCGGGTTTTTAAGATTCCAGAGTTCAGGTTTCCAAACGACATACTAACCCCACCCCCACCCCCACCCCCGAGAGGGGGCAGGACCAGGAGGAGTGCTAAGGGTAGTAGAGCACCAAACTGAAACCCCATCCTGTCACTTGCATACACGGCTACAGTCTCTCTGACAGAGGGGGAGACAGAGGGGAGCTGCAGCTTTACTGGCTCTTTTACCTGTGGTCTTTCACAGAGAAGCTCGGCACTCCAAACAAATCTCCTAGAAGATCGTTTGAACAATACACAATGTGTTGCTGCTTCTCATCATATAATCGTTTAGTCATAATATACTGGCCAAGATAAAATATAATCTGAAATAGAAATAAGGTTTCTACGTATTAAAGAACATTAAATATCAATTCTATGTACTTTTACCCACAACCATGTACTAGACAGTAGTTTGTCTAGACGCAGCTCTTCTGAACACATTCATGCTGATGAAAACAGAAATAACTGATTCTCAATATTACTTAAATGTATTTCTTGCTTTTCTTTTTTCTCATAAACTTTAATTCTGCCCAGAAATCTAGATACTAACATACTAACAAAGGAAGGCAAAAATAGAAAAAAAATTAAAATATGGCAGTGAATTAGAGCAATGACAAATGTAACAAACATATACTTCAATAGCTCTGAAGTCATCCCAGAGAACTCCCATGGGGTAGTTCAAAGTTATCAAGTGATCTACCTAACTAGTCCGCGGCTCCAACTATTGCTATTAAACGAATGATATTCCATGTGCTCTGCTAGCTCAGCTTTAACCACACCTTTCCCATTATCCCAAAGCCACCCGTCAGTCAACAACACAAATCCATGAGCACTCTATAGTGCACAGTGCAAGTGTCAGTGCAGTCTCATCATCCAGACACCCCACACAGTTGTTATCACTCCACAGAAATGAAGAGGTCGCCCCTTCATTTCTGACACCCAGCACCCCAAAAAAGAAGCAAGCATAAAAAGGATGAGGAAACCACCCTAGGACTGACTCTATTCCAGTGTACTTTCTACTATCTCATACTGGTTTCCACTACTTTCTCAAGTGCCCCAGGATAAAGATCTGAAAACTGGTACAGACAATATAAACAACTCTAAGTCCCACCTCCACCATTCATCCAGGAATTTGTCCTAAACATTGAAATGTTTTTCCTTGTCAATACTTCCTAAATAATACAGCATTAACAACTGTTTAATATACGTTACAGGTAATCTAGAGATAACTTAAGGGAGGCTGTCTGTACACTACAAAGTTTCATTTTTAAGGAAGAGACTTTGAAGACAGGGCCCTAACAGCAATGCCCTACAGACAGCAGAGGAAAGTCACCGAGCCACTACAGACAGCTTGGTACGAGTACCCTACACTTTTTTGATGGCCTTGATCAATTTTCTAGTCTATCTACTACTAAATCCATACTTTGTTTCCTTTAATTAATCTTATAAAGGTCAATCCAGTTATTGACCATAAAACATCACTTAACACTTAAGAGACTGGGTAGCTAAGCAGGGGTTCAGCAATCCTAAAAGGAATGTTTCTACATGTCCATGGATCACAGACACTGGTGACAGGCAGTGGGACAGACAGGAAGAATAGGTTCCTCCTACAAAGGATCCCCTGAGACATTTCTAGCCGTATGACTGAAGACAAGATTTGGGAGTCTCTTCCTGTTCCACTAACCTGTCACAACAGTGTTTTAAGTAAACAAGATAAAAACACTTGTATGTCATTTACACTGAAATTGTCTACATCTGCCCAGCATATTTTTATGAACAAACTTGAAGGTAAACAACAATACGTTGTATCCATGAGACAGGACACAGGCTCATGAATCAGCTCACTTGAGAACTTCGGTACAATCTGAAGTCCGGGATACCCAAGAAATCCTGAGATAAAATTTAGGGAATCCAACAATTTGGATGGGGGGTAAATCCTCAATTTTAGTTTTCCCTTCAATTATGAAGACAGGCAATAAACTACAATATTTATAAGTGATTTTTGTTGCCAATAAACATCAAAATGTTTTGATCAAAATGTTTGCCTCAAGCACACACATCAACAAAATCTTTAATCCTCACTACATTAAAATCAAATGTATTAAACTGCCAGTATTTTCTTACTTTAAAAGCCATATACTGGGGCTGGAGAGATGGCTCAGAGGTTAAGAGCACTGGCTGCTCTTCCAGAGGTCCTGAGTTCAATTCCCAGCAACCACATGGTGGCTCACAGCCATCTGTAATGAGATCTGGCGCCCTCTTCTGGTGTGTAGATGGAGGCAGGGTGTTGTGTTTGTAATAAATAAATAAATCTTTAAAAAAAAAGGCATATACTGGGCAGGAGAGACGGCTCAAAAGGTAAAGGTGTTTCCTGCCAAGTCAGATGAACCTTGTTTGGTTACCCAAGATTGACTTGGTAGGACAGAACTGACACCCTCAAAATGTCCTTTAATCTCCACTGTGTATGTACATACTCACACATAAATATAGCTTTAAAAATTAAAAAGAAGACAGCGGTTTAAAAGTTAGCAACGGCTGGGTGGTGGTGGCGCACGCCTTTAATCCCAGCACTCGGGAAGCAGAGGCAGGTGGATCTCTGTGAGTTCCAGGCCAGCCTGGTCTACAGAGCGAGCTCCAGGACAGCCTCCAAAACAATACAGAGAAACCCTGTCTCAGGAAAAAAAAACAAGTAAAAAATGTATTGTCACAAATTTGCTTACTGTTACAAATTTAAATGACTGAGAAGTTATGGATGGATCTGAGACTTTTTACCAGTTTGCCAAATGAGTTCACAGCACAAAAACAATAAGAATTCTATACTTCTTTCTGTTTGGGTTTCCAGTTAAAAAAAAAAAAAATGAAGCGCACTGCTGAGTGTGGTAACACACACCTTTAATCCCAGGCAGAAGCAGGACGATCTCTGTTAGAGGCCAGTCTGGTCTACATAGTGATATTGAGTTCCAGGACAATCAGAGAGACCTTGTCTCAAAAAAAAAAAAAAAAAGTCATACAAATTAGTATTTTTAGCTTCAAAATATAGTTCAAATGGTCACAAAACAATGTCCCCATTTGCTACAAATTCTTTCTGTATGACCAATCTCACCCACAAACTTGAAAACTACTATCTATGCACGGCTGTGACTATTAAGATATCAGTTCCCTATCTCTTAGTTCCGCTCACCTCTTTCATAGTATAGGTATCTTTCTGCGCCCCGACAGACTTTAACAACTTCAGAAACAATGGTTTTGGTCTAACCTGTAAAAGAAAAGAAGAACTGCTGTTACACCCATGAAAACACTCTATGGCATAAGCCCTGCAAGTCTGTCCAGAAAGCAGCCCAAAAGGGGCGGCAAATACCACATTTAACAACTTGTTACAAGTCAGACCTCAAAAAGTTGGGTTTTACACTAAGTGCAATAGACTCATAAACGGAATAGCACACATCACCAAAGAGGAGGGAAAATGCTTTGGAAAAAGCTATTATGCAATTATCATAAAATCATTCATTACTATTAGTAGTGATCACAGGGCTCAGAGATTAAGCACTCACTGCTTTTGCTTAGAACCAAATTCAGTTCCCAGCACCCACCATCAGGTACCTTACAGCTGCCTGAAACCCCAGTTCATTCCAGGTGATCCAACATCCTCTTCTGGCTTCTGCAAGGTTTGCACATATGTGGGAGTGTAGCACTATTTTCTTTCTCCAGCTCTATTACGTTTACTACCACATAATCTAGTTCCGATCCAGTATACAGTATACTTATTGTACTGCACAAACCCAATGGTCTGCTGTAAGGAAACTTACAGAATGAAGGAGAAAAGAATACGTCTTTAGGATTAAACCTATCACCAATCTATTATACACTGCTCCAGAACGAATCCAAACCAGAGAGGTAATAAGCAATTCAAAGACTGTAATTCATATTCCTCAACTACAGCTCAGTATTTTCTTCCTATGATTTACACCTCAAATACCCACTTATCATTTACAGCGCACCCAAAAAGGCTAGATACTGCCACCAAAAAAATAAAGAGAGACACAAGACCTTTAATCTAGCCAATTTAAAAGCAAAGTACTATATAAACTATTGGAGTGAATACATAATAAATTTCATTTACAAAAAACAGGTCAAGCTGGGCAGTGGTGATACACGCCTTTAGTACCTGGCAGAGGCAGGTGATATCTGTGAGTTCGAGGTCAGTCTGGCCTACAAAGGGAGTTCCCACCAGGTCAGATTTTCCTAGAACCTACAGTTTGTCTGACTCTAGCTTTCCCAGTAGTAAGATATTAATTGGTGGGGCTGAAGAAAAACCTTAGGGGTTAAAAGCACTTGCTGCTTACAGAGGCCCTGAGTTCGATTCCCAACACTCACATGATAGATCAAAACTATCTGTAACTTGAGCTTCAAGGTATCTTACGGCCTCTTCTGGCTTCTGTAGGCACCAGGCATCCACATGGTAGGTACACATACACACATGCAGGAGAACATTCATACACATAAAAATCTGTAAAGAAAATTGGACAACTGCCAACTAACTGGCAAGTGTGGTCCATAGAGCGGCTGGTGAGCCCAGCCTAGCACCAGTCTCCAGCAGTACAGCAACAGCAAGGAGCAGCATGATAAAGTGGCCCTGAACTTGCTGCAGCCACCTAAGTCTGAAGTCACAGTTTATCAGTGGTCATGCACTGCTCTGAAGCTGCTCCTCTTGTTACAGCTCCAACAACCATGGTCCTATTAGCCTGTTCTCTGTAACTACGGGGTGCCCACAAGGACAACCTTTGATGTTTTACCTAAATGTACTTCTGTGCACAACTCATGTCCCTGGCCCCCAGGGAGGCCAGAAAAGAGTGTTGAATCACCTAGAACTGGAGTTACAGATGGCTGTGAGCCATCACATGGGTGCTGAGAATGAAGTCAGATCAGCTGAGGAGTAGCCAGTGCTCCTAGTCATAGTCACTTAGCTATCTTTCCCTATTAGGACAGATTTTTGGGGGTTTTTTTGTTGTTGTTTTTTCGAGACAGGGTTTCTCTGTATTGTTTTGGAGGCTATCGGTCCAGCCCAGCCTCGAACTCACAGAGATCCGCCTGCCTCTGCCTCCCGAGTGCTGGGATTAAAGGCGTGCGCCACCACAGCCCGGCTCAGATTTTTGGGTTTTTTGGGGGGGTTTCTTAGAGGGTTTCTCTGTGCAGCTTTGGAACCTGTCCTGGAACTCACTCTGTAGACCAGGCTGGAGGCTAGACCAGGATGGCCTCTGCCTCCAGAGTGCTGGAACTAAAGATATGTGCCACCACCGCGCGGCATGGTATGTTTTTTAACTTTTATTTTTCTGTGTATTGGTATTTTGCCTACATGTATGTATGTATGTAAGTGCACCATGTGCATACAGTGCCTGTGGAGGCCAGGAGATGGCCCAGGATCCTCTGGAACTGGCACAAGAAGGCTGAGCCACTTTATGCTGGGAATCAAATTTGGGTCCTTTGCAAGAGCAGCAAATGCACTTAACTGCTGAACTCTCTCTCCCCACTTTCTTTTAAAGACTATTTCTAGCACAATTTCAAAATGTTCTTTTAAAAGTGCATTTACTCCTCAAGAGCACACAAATAGGTTATCAAATACCAAATGGTCAACCCTGAAAACATACAAATGGAATTATTCCCACATAGCAAGTTGTATTTAGAAGTGTGTATGTGTGTGTGAGTGTGTAAAAAAAATTAATGAAAAGGGCAGGGGCTGGATAAGTAGCTCAGTGGTTAGAGCACTGACTGCTCTTCCTTAGGACCCAGGTTCCATTCCAACCCAGAAGCACCCACATGGCATCTCACAGCTGTCTGTAACTCATATTCCAGAATATCTAATCCCTTCTTAGACCTCTGCAAGCACCATGCAAATACATACTGCACACCCAGCTACATAAGACAATAATCTTAAGAAAAAAAAAGAGAAAGTATATTGGAAGCTTTGGATGATGGAATCAGAATGATGGTATAATTATAATCTCAAAAACAAAAAGTTTCAAAAGAAATGGGAACCAGCCAGGCATGGTGGTACATGCCTTTATTCCCAGCACTCAGCAGTCAAAGAAAGGCTCCGGGGATTGGTGGTGCACACCTTTAATCCTAGCACTCAGGAGGCAGTGGCAGGCGGATCTCTGTGAGTTTGGGGCCAGCCTGGTTTACAGAGTGAGTTCCAGGACAATCTAGGCCACACAGAGAAATCCTCTCAGAAAAACAAACAAAATGTTTTCTCTTCTAAGATTTGAAAATTACTTTTTAATTCTTAATTCCCATGTCACTTATGCTATTCTTCTCTATAGCGTGTCAATTTTAGCACATGTATTGCCCAAGCAAACACCTCCTAATTGTATTAACTCAAATCAAAACTCTACAATAGAAAAGCTTTACAAAAGTTGGTTTAAAAACAAAACAATAATTATTATTAAAAGACAACACTCTGTGTAATCTTATACTTAAGAATAAAAAGACAGGCTAGAGAGATAGCTCAGAGATTAAGAGCACTGACGGCTCTTCCAGAGGTCTTGAGTTCAATTCCCAGCAACCACATGATAGCTCTCAACCACCTATAATAGGATCTGATGCCCTCTTCTGGCCCGCAGGTATACATGCAGAGCATTCATATTCATAAATACAAATACAATAAAATCTTTAAAAAAAAGAATAAAAAGACAATTCTGTGTAAAGATCTACATGTAAAAGTTTTAAAATGCTGGGCTGGAGAGATGGCTCAGTGGTTAAGGGCACACTGTCTATTCTTCCAGAGGTCTTGAGTTCAATTCCCAGCAACCACACGGTGGCTCACAACTATCTGTAATGAGATCTGGTGCCCTCTTCTGGCCTATAGACAGAACAAATAAACCCTAAAAAAGGAAAAAAAAAGTTTTAAAATGCTCCAGGTGGTGGTGGTGACATAATCACAGGTCTACAGAGTAGGTTCCAGGACAGCAAAAGCTACACAGAGAAACCCTGTCTCAAACCCAAGTTCCAAAACGCTACATGGAAACACAGTATGTAAAAGCCACTGAAACAGATAAGTCTGCTGACATCAAGTTGCATACAGTACTAAAATAATAACTACACTTGTGTTATACAAGACACCAAGAGCTGGGCGTTGGTGGCGCACGCCTTTAATCCCAGCACTCGGGAGGCAGAGGCAGGTGGATCTCTGTAAGTTCGAGACCAGCCTGGACTACCAAGCGAGTTCCAGGACAGCCTCCAAAGCCACAGAGAAACCCTGTCTCGAAAAAAAAAAAAAAAAAGACACCAAGAAAAACGCAAAAGGGGATGAGGAAAAGAGGGAGAAAGGGAGAGGGAAGGAAGAGGGGCATTACAGAAAGATATTAGGCAAACCTCAGGATAAACAATTACTTAACAAATGAAGTGTTGCTTCATGGGAGATCTGAGGCACATAGGGCATATATACTGAAACAACCGTCCAACAGTAATAATAGAAATTGGCTCACAGTTTTATGACATATTTTATAAAGAACTAGGAGTCTGAAGATTTACAACACAGAAATGATAAATGTTTAAGGAAATGGAAAGTTAACTACCTTGATTTGCATGCATATACCAAATCATAACATTATTCTTCATAAATATGTACAAAATGGGAGGGAGGGAAGGAAGGAGGGAAGGAGGGAGGGGAGAGGGAGAGAGGGAGAGAGGAAGGGAGGGGAAGGAGGGAGGGTGGGCAGGCTGGCAGGCAGGCTGGTTGATTCAGTGCTGTGCTGGCAGGCTTGAAGACTACCATAACCTTTTGCTGAACCAGTTACCAGGTAGCAATCAAATGTGTTTATTCAGGTCTTAGGATTACTTATCTCCCTATCTTTCTTAAAGAAGAATCACATACTTATTCTACTCACAAACAGGAGAAACATTTACATCTACCAGCAGGTCATAGTGTAAGATCATAGCTCAGCTCAGTGGGATAGTGCTTATGCACCCACACCCCAAAGGCTGGGTGGGGTTCAATGCCTGACACCAAAAGCAAGTAAGAAAAATGTTCAAATGGTGTACTTGTGTTAGTGAATGCTAAGCAGGCATTAAAAGTAACCCTATAGTTCACTGGCAAGTTGTAGAACACCACTGTATGTTAATACAGAATAGGATACAAGATACATTTCTATTTTTATTTCATGCATTTCTGTAGTGACTAGAGTCTTCACAAGGAATATGAATCACCTCTGTGACTTTTAGGTTACTATTTAAGAAGCTAAACAGTGGTAGGACGAACTAGAAAATGCATGTCATCAGCGTCTGCATCTACACCTGATGCAATGGAACTCATTTTCCAAGTCTGAAAACAGGTTCTTGCTGTTAATTCTCTAACGCAATTACAAGTGTGAAACACTTTCTATTTAAAACACACGATTACATTTTTAGGGCTGTGCTCTAATTTTGAAGTTTAAAGTTCTTACTTGACTACCTGGTTAAAAAAAAAAAAAAGTTACTTTTACACACTCAAGACAAAAATACCAACCAGAGTCTCTTGTTCCGAAGCTGGAATCTGTGAGGTGCCTTCAGCACCATCAGTAGACACAGACATGCTGGTATTGCACATTGGCCTACAGGTAGGGAAAAAGAGAAACACACACACGATAAAAACTCGAAATGGTAAAATATGTGCGAAAAATCACAAAGGAGACAGAAGGCGTCCTTAACGGTAGATGTTCTGCGGGCTGCTCCTTACCTCGATGCACGCAGGAGAGGCTCCGTCGTCGCCGGGGAGGTCCCAGGTGTCCCCTCTGCGCTGGCCAGCGCACAGCTGCGGACAACGACAGGGTTTAAATAGCTCCAGCGGAAGAGGCAAGTCAGGACTTAGCTCCTACGACAGGCGACGCCGAACTTGTCTCAACTTGACCAGCCCAGCAGGAAAAGCTGAGTCAACTCCAAAAAGGGCTGCCCCGGCTCGCCCCTCCCAGAGGACCGCGAGACAGGCACCTGTTAACCCCCGACCCCAGCAGCGAGCCCAGAGCGACCCCGGAGACCACCCTCCGCCCAGTGCGGGCCGCGGGGCCTGCCGGGAGACCCCGGCTCACCCCCCCGCCCCACCCCCGCCCCGCCGCGGGCGAGCCGCGCCAACCGAGACCCCGCCCTCCGGCCACTCGCCAGCAAACGGTCGCCCCGCCTCACGCCCCGCTCCCCCGCGAACCGGCCCGGAGGACGCGGGAACCATGGGGACCCCTACGCCGCCCAGCCCGGGACGGAGCGCTGCTTCCGGCGCGTACCTGCTCATCCCCGCGTGTCTCCCGACCCTTCACGGGACGCGCGGAGGCCCGGCGGTCCGGGTTTGGGCTTGGGCGACCATTTCGCTCCGGTGCTCGAGCGGCAGCGGCTCCTCACTGAGAGCGCGGCCGCCTCTCGGCTACCCGGGCCCAGGACGCCCCCCCCACTCCTCCCCACACAACAAACCGGAGCTCGGCGGCGCGCGCCTCCTACCGCCCGCGGGTAGAGCGCCGGAAGCCACGGCCCATCCGGGCACCTGGGAGCGCGCGCGCACGTCCGGTGGCCGCCTCCCGGACCAATGGGAATCGGGCTTGGGCGGGGCCTCGGCGGCCGCGCAGTCCGTGCGCGCGCATGAGGCGGGGAGGGGCCGGCGCCGAGCGCAGGTGCGGCGCGCAGGTTTTTAAGGAGTTGGGGTTTTGTTTTGTTTTGTTTTGTTTTGTTTTTTATTCTATTTCGTGTGTTGGTTACAGCTCAGACCGCAATGGTAGCGAGGCAAATTAGTATCCGAAGCGTTGCTGTTACCAAAACGGAAGCAAGAATAACAGCTGTGTGGTATTTTAAGCCCACCCCGCCAGCAGCTGGAGTTGTAAACAAATGAGTTATTTTCAGATTTTAAAATAGAGGCCGGGCGGTGGTGGCGCACGTCTTCAATCCCAGCAGTCGGGAGGCAGATGCAGGTGGATCTCTGAGTTCGAGACCAGCCTGGTCTACAAGAGCTAGTTCCAGGACCCCCTCCAAAGCCACAGAGAAACCCTGCCTCGAAAGGGGGAAAAAAAAAAGTAAAAATAGAGCTGGGGGCCCGGCGTTGGTGGCGCACGCCTTTAATCCCAGCACTCGGGAGGCAGAGGCAGGTGGATCTCTGTGAGTTCGAGGCCAGCCTGGTCTACAGAGCGAGTTCCAGGGCAGCCTCCAAAGCCATAGAGAAACCCTGTCTCGAAAAACCAAAAAAAAAAAAAAAAAAAAAGCACGCATAGACGTACGTACACCCCCCCCAGTGTTGACAATTTTCTAGTTGGTGGTTATCATGGGGGCTCGAGTTATGGAAAGAACTGGACCTTGAGGCTGAAGCCAGATGTAGTGATGCGTCTGTAATCCCAGACACCAGCAAGCTGTCTCCGTCTGTTTGTTTGTTTGTTTTGTTTGTCTCGAGACAGGGCTTCTCTGTGTAGCACTGGCTGTCCTGGAACAGACTCTAGACCAGGCTAACCTCAAACTCAGAGATCCACCTGCTTCTGCCTACTGAGCTTTGGGATTAAAGGCATGCACCACCACCATCCTGCAGGCCAGAAGGGGGCACCAGATGTCATTACATGATAGTTGTGAGCCATCAGGTGGTTGCTGGGAATTGAATTCAGGACCTCAGGAAGAACAGCCAGTGCTCTTAACCACTGAGCCATCTCTCCAGCCCCAGGTCTACTTTTTAAGAGTGTAGAATGTAGAGTGTCATAAGGCTCTTATTGGGGACGTCCTGCGTTGTTCAATCCTGGGCACCAAAAGCAAAAGCCCCAGATCTTAAATCTTAAAAACAAAACAAGTGAGCCGGGCGTTGGTGGCTCACGCCTTTAATCCCAGCACTCAGGAGGCAGAGGCAGGTGGATCTCTGTGATTTCAAGACCAGCTTGGTCTACAGAATGAGTTCCAGGACAGGCTCAAAAAAAAAAAAAAAAAGAAAGAAAGAAAAGAAAAAACTTGTACAATCAAAAATAATCAGGAATCTGAGACAGGAAGATAGCTTGAGACGAGCAATGCAAAACTAATATGGATAACACTAATAACCTATCTCAAGAAGTGAGAGGAAAGGACTCTTGTTCTTTGTGGTTTGGGCCAGGTGTGGTGGCATAGGCCTTTAGCCTCAGCACTGTGGAAGAAGAAACCTGTGAGTTCAAGACCAGCCTGGTCTACATAGTGAGTTCCAGATCAGCCTGGGCTACATAGAGAGACCCTGCCTCAAAGCAAACAAAGGTAACATCCTTGGGAGATGAAGTGGCTCAGGCGGTAGAGTGCTCACCTAGCACACGTAAAGCCTTGGCTCCATCCCCAGGACCACATAAACCAGGCATGATGATGCACATGAGCCATCCCAGCACGGGGGAGGTGGAGGCAGAAGGGTCAGAAGTTCAAAGTCAGCCTTGGCCACAGTGGGTTTGAGGCCAGTCAGAGACAACATGAGACCCTGTGGGGAAATAAGTCCCACCATTGTTAACACCAGAGACTTGGTGTGACTTTGAAACCAGGCCTTTAAAGTATCAAATACAGCTAGATTTCTGATTGTTAGACTCTACTCCTGACATGAGATGAATGAAAGCCTCAAGCTGGGTGTGGTGGCACGTGGCTGGAATGTCAGCACTCACAAGTCTGAGACAGGAGTTTCGCCTGGTGTATGAGGCCACCCTGGCTTATGTAGTAAAATAATGGATGGACAGATGGATGGGAGGGAGGAAGAGAGAATAAGAAAGAAGGAAACTTCAAGTAGTAGAAGTGTGTGTGTGTGTGTGTGTGTGTGTCTGTCAGTATGTGTGTGTGTCTGTGTGTCTGTGTATGTGTGTGTGGTGTGTGTGTCTGTGTCTGTGTGTGTGTGTCTGTGTGTGTGTGCGTGTGTGTGTGTGTGTGTGTGTGTGTGTGTGTAAAATGCTAGACCTGGTAGTATACACTTGCAATTCCAGCATTCAGGAGACTGATGCAAGAGGATCTAAAGTTCAAGGTCAGCCGAGACCAAATAAAGAACAGAGGCTGACCTGGGCTGTGTCAAAACTACATCCCAAACGAAAGACTCTGTGCCTGTTGGGGGGAGGGTTAATCCCACCAAAGGCCTGCTAGTAATAACCATGGTTATTGTGAAGGTGCTTGCTTAGCATGTGTAAATTCCTGGGTTTAATCTTCAGTCTTTCAAGGATTTAGTACTCCATTGTGGCGTGTACAAGAGTAGACCAATACATGCCTCCCCCAGATAGACTTCGCGCCCTATTTTGAGGTGGCTTCTTACAGGAAGGGTGGACACAAGTATCCCTCTGAAAACCATCCCCTTGGATAAAAGTCCACCTGTCTACGTTAGTGCATGGCAGACAACAAGCGGGGGCATTTGCCAAGACATGTCCAACCAGCCACAGGCTGTCACCGCTCTTCCCAGGGCGGTGCTAACATTCCAGAGTCTGCACAGCAAAGCAACCTTTTACCTCACCCTCACCTGCTGGCCACCTACATCTAGAAACCCCAAGCCCCTGTGTCTCCCTGTAGTTCAGGATATTAGACAAGCTCCAATTGCTGGGCCCTTTGAGTCTCACATTTTGTGAGGTTCCCATGTTTATGCACACAATAAATTTGTTTGCCATTTCAAACGTCTGTCTGCCCGCTGTCTGCTGAGTCTTCAGAGGAGAGGAAAAACGTTTAACTCCCAGCATTACCACACACCAAAGCACCAAGCACCAGTGAGAGGCTGAGAGGTGAACAAGGATAGGCATACCTCTTGCTGTAATGGATCCTACCCAAACTCTTTCCAGCCAAAGAAAATGCTGATGCCATTGACATCAGTAAGACTAGAAGAAGCAAAAAGTTGAGTTGTTAAGATTGGAGTGAGGAAACATCGCAGAGCACTCAGTCGAAAACCTGGAACTGAAGCTTGAGTTGGAGGCGGAGCTTCAAACAGCCAAAGTATAACTAAGAGGAACAATTAGGAAGCCAGCCTACGCAGGGCCAGAGAGCCACAGGACCAATACTGCCTATGTTAAGGACCGTGAGGAACAAGGAGTCAAACTAGATCTGCTCTCTCTAAAGCAATTGCTACAGTAGGGATAGAGCATGCCTGGCACGAGCAAGCCTCTGGTGTTAGAATCCAGACCAGACTGCTGCTCAGTCACGCCCACCTGCAGCAGCCTTTCCTCCAGCTGCAAGCTCCTGTATGCCCCATACATCCAGACCTTAAGATCCGATCTCAAGAGAAAGATGCGGAAGGCGCAGAGGCAGCATCCTCACTCCCGCAGATGGACAAGTTGCTGGAGTCTCCCCCAGGCCAGGCAGGTACCTGGAGAAGATGGTGGTTGAGTAGAGAAAAATGTGATGTTCTACAGGCATACACCTGTAGTCTCAGTTGCTGGGGAGATAGAGTGCTGTAGCATGGCATTTTTCCTCCAGAAATAACATGCTCGGCCAATCAGCATCTTGGAGCAGAGGTCGCCATGGCCTGGTAGCCATAGCAACTAATCGAACAGAACACTAGAGAAGTAGTGAGATCTGTAATAATGCCAATGGACCTATCAGCACTCCTTAGCAGAGGGATGGATGGAAGGGTGTTACGATCCTCACCTGGGGTTCCAATCATTGCCCCTTCTTTTTCCCTCCTCAATGGCAAGCAATTTGGTGAGAGACTAGAATATATACTATATATAGCATATAGGAAGGGGTAGATTAACTAAAAGGAGGACTCCATGACACAACTTGCATTAGGTCATTATCCACGAGGAGGTGGGCTGTACAATGATGCAGCTGTTCGGCGGGAGGGGCAGAGGGGCAGGAGGGGCGGAGGGGTGGGGGGACACGGCACCGACAGGACTCATTCTCATTCTCCTGTAAGTAACCCCTCACCCGTGTTCTGCAAGTAAACCCAATAAACTCACTGTTTTGTCAAGTTGGATTTTTGCGGTGTTAAACATCAAGAGGCAAAGCAGCAGCCTGCTGGTCCTGAAAGGGAGCAGGCACCTCTTTCTCCTCCGTGAGGTTTATTAGAGGGACCTCGAGGTCATGATTGGGCCCTAGGGGCATGGGGCACGCTAGACAGAAGCAATGCAATATCAGGAGATCTGAACAAGATAGGACCTGAAAAAGAAAGACAGGTGAGGGGGCTCCCTTTAAAGCCTGGAAAGAGGGGCTGGAGAGATGGCTCAGAGGTTAAGAGCACTGACTGCTTTTCCAGGGGTCCTGAGTTCAATTCCCAGCAACCACATAGTGGCTCACAACCATCTACAATTCAACCTGTGTCCTCTTCTGGCATGTAGGCAGAGCAATGTATGTGTGATAAATAAATCTTTAAAAAAAGCCTGGAAAGAGAGGGGGGGCAGCCATGAAAGGCAGAGTTGGGAAAGACCAGAGAACAGATTCCTTCGGAGAGCCTTTCCAGCAGCCCCCATCCCCACGCAGGAATCTCAGCCCAATCCCCAGGACAAAGGAAAGATCTGGGTTTTTATAACCTCTTAGGAGAGGCAGGAAGTTTCACATCACATTGCATTATGGGA